CTTTCAACACGGGTTCTACAGTGATCCCAAGTCCCCAAGCTTTCATTTGATACCAAAACTACCCAAATATTCCACCTATTGACAAAGATAAAGCTATGCGTAGGAACTATTTTGTTTAAAATATGTACTACTTTCTTGTATGTTCTTTCCGACCGGGCCTTAATTAGTGGTTCTATACCTATAACAGCACCTAACTTGTTATATTGACTTCTGCTTGACTTAATTTCTTTCTATGATCTATTTCTAGCATAGAAAAACACATAAAGCTTTAGTCAAAACACAATATCACTGAATTCAAGCTCAAATTGGACTGGTAGTAATATATGCGTTATACAAAGAAAACTCCATATGGATACTAATAGTGACAGATATGACACTTTTTCAATGTTTACCAGTTATTATTTGTTAATATCTACTCAAATAGCAGTGTCCTTACATATCTGTCTTATTTTTATCAAAGATTCTTCCTTGAATATAAATACAGTGGTCCAAACATAAAAAAAATAATAGATAATTTTGACCCCCCTTTTTTCTACATGTTGAAAAAGGAGAGTGATTTGGTAAAAACCATACTTTTATGTATAAACATGGATCAACAAGAGCAATTTATGTATCTCCCAGTTAGACAACTTGCTAAACTGGTTATAAAATGCATTTCAAGTGAGATTTGGGAAATCCTATATAAGTATACATCAATTTCATTTGAAATAAATGATTCACTAAGAAACCCAATAAAACATGAACACTCACTAGATAATTTGACCAAAAGCAATATTTATACTATTAACTACTCATAATATACATGTTTCATTGGTTTCAGTCTTAGGTAATGCAAAAATTCAAACATCAGGTAAAATCTTAACTATGTGCATGCTAAATGATCAAAAAAGGCTGATATACCTTATTGTAGCAATTTGAGGGTTGTAATTTGACACCAACATAATTGTTACATAAAAAAAATAATGTAACATGATTACTGACAACAAATGTGACTAAATTTCATTGTAAAGGGTGTCATTTCTAAAAATAGAATTTCACATGCCTTTCAGTAATAGGTATAAAACCACTAATTCATAGCCCCATTGCTTTCTATGTTAAATTCTGCAATTTCAAGCATTAATGGCTAATTTGTCTTAAGTTCAAATAAAGTAGCAGTTATTTCATGTCAAAACTATACCTTATCCTGACTTGTGCTGAAAAATTCAACATACCTTTAATTGCATTTTAGAGCGTACTGGTTCCCGGAAGTTTGATAGTACAAAAACAGGTACTTCTGATCTGAACAACAGGGCAAATGTGCCCTCCTATTAAAATTGTATATACTTCTTTATTATTCAAAAGAAACTTTCAACACGGGTTCTACAGTGATCCCAAGTCCCCAAGCTTTCATTTGATACCAAAACTACCCAAATATTCCACCTATTGACAAAGATAAAGCTATGCGTAGGAACTATTTTGTTTAAAATATGTACTACTTTCTTGTATGTTCTTTCCGACCGGGCCTTAATTAGTGGTTCTATACCTTAAGCGTTAATTCGATTCCCTCAGTATTTGTTTACTACGTTGATTTGTATTTTCTTAATCGATATACGAGATTTTAACATCGATCAGTAAACTACTGAGGCCTTTATTGAACAAAGAATAAAAGAACGTGGAGGAAAGGGGATTAAACATCAGCTAATCTTACAAAGTGGTTTAACAGCACAACACAAGGATAAATTGTAAAAATCAGTTGGAAAGAGATCAGATCGGCACGAAGCACATACTAATAAGTTACAAAAAGACTAAAAGCACAAAGTACCGATCTTAGATTGATCGGTTGATTGATTCGTGTTTTACGCCACGTTCAGCACTTTTGTGCTATTTCATTTCGTGGCGGTCAGTTTTTATTGGTGGAAGAAGCCAGAGTGCCTGGAGAGATCCACAGGCCTTCGGTAGGAAAACTTACAATCCTAGTCAATAAATATTGCAGTCGAGTGCATCTGCGGGATTTAAACTCAAAACCTCAGTGTTGACAGGTTAGTGATACAGTAGCTCGACTACTTCGACTTCTCGGCTAACGAGCCCCCGATCTTAAAGAACTCGGAGTTACTGATAGCTATAGTTCATATCCAATTTCAACTTATATATAAACCATGTTTTCTTGGACTAAAATATCAATCTCGCATGACTTAAAAGCCACCAGAACGCCCGAAAAACAAACAATTAATGAGCCTATGAAGCCCGTAACGCTTGATGTTGAACTATGTAGTAGGCAAAATTCTAAGCTTTAAATACAAGTACATAGTGTTCTACATTTGTATTTTTATTTGTATTTACGTCATATAGTACATTAGTGAAAGCAATATCACTAAATGATGTCCTTAAATATTTATCGTTGTATCATTTTATTTGATATAAAGTTCTAAAGTTTATCTTTCCCTGTAAATAGTTATGAAAGATAACTGATGATTTCTTGAGAACAAGCTTGCACTTAGATTGACTTAGACTGTATGGAAGGACGGTCATCATGAAATAAGACTATGTGTATTTTACGGTCAAGGTGAGTATATGTCGATCAAAAATGAACAGTTACACTATACCACAGTGAACTATTGTTGCTCAAATATAAACTTATAGTTCTTATTTCCGATCGCGCAACAAATATATGTTCAAGTCTGTTTGAGACGAAAAAATATATGAGAGTCATAAAGCTTTTAAGAGCATAAAAACCAAAAAAGAAACTAGACTAAATCGATTCTATTGTTATTTTATAAAATGAATTACTTTGAAAATGCCAGTTGCAACGCATTGGCGGCTTGATTTTACCTCAGAATTTGCTATTACTTTGATTTGTCTCTTCTTTGTCGATGTACGAGATTTGAACATCGGTAAACTACTGTCGCCTTAATGGATCAGTGAAATCAAAACATCGATATCTCATGTTATGGCACTTATTCAGACTCTTTAATGTGCATCTTCGCACATAGTTATATATCTCAATATCAACCATCGCACGCTATCAGTTTATTTCCACTCCATTCAGATGAACTGGAAACATTTTTATATTAAAAGGGGGAGGGGATGGTAGGCTTACATGTTTTCCAGATGCCTCTTGGTTTGCAATAAACACTGTTGCTCTCCGTGTATATTTTCTAGGAAAATTCATAATCTTTTAAGCATTATGGAAGCTTAAATTCCCAATTAAGGCTCAATGTTCACTTCGATATATTTTTTCAATTGGTGTGCACGTTGTTCGTTAAAATTACTCTCTCATTAATTGACGTTAATTGCATGTTTCCTTTTTTACTCGTATATATATATATATATATATATATATATAGTACTAGTTTCCGGATCACAATTAAATATAAAAAAGGCGAAGTTGATAATCTAGGTAGAGGTTGATTAAGGAGCAGTTGTACAAATAATTACTGAATATTATCTTTAAATAGCCTTTATCAATTTGCTTAAAGATTATTCACAGTTGTACAAGTAGCATTAGTATCAGTTCATGCTGAGATCAATGGACACGCTAATTTTAATTCACTTCGGACTGATCATAGTTTTTACAGGTAAAGTTACATTTTGAAATTTTAACCCCAAAAATAAAATAATATATACAATCAATTATTCTGGCATGACGTTAAAACTATAGGACAAATTTAAGACGATTTTCATAAGTTTTATTATTAAAAGAAAATTAGTTATTTGTCAAAACTTGATATAAAATAAAATGCATACGGTTTTCAAATACATAATTTTCACAGATTGAAAAAAGGATCAAGAACACAGTCTTGCTTAAAGTGACTGTTAACATTGTTTTAAGTAAAAACTATATATATTTAGTTTATTTATTTAGGATCTATACATCTCATTGATGTCATTTGGTGTCTAGTGGAGAGTTGTATCATTGGCAATCATTAAACATCTCCTTATTTTTGTATGTTGTAACATGTGTTTATCTCGGTAATAATTTTGTTTACGCGCGAATTAGTAAAATGATATTTCAATGAAAAAAATGGAAAACGTAATATTAAAGAATCAGAAAAGAGGCAACATACTAACTAAAATGTAATTGAAATCAGTTAACATTTTACGATGTTGGTGATATTGTTTTCTTTCACTTCTTGTAATATTATCAATTCTTGTCCGTGAATACAGGTAGTTGTCATAATCTGGACACTGTCTGTAAATTTAGTGCAGTTTGTATGATATTAAGTGGTTGAAAGAAAGCATTATCAATTAACTGTGTCCTTCAACATTTATCAACGTGTATCATTTGTATTTGTTTTTAGATCTAAAGGTTATCTTTCTTCGTAAATAATAATGAGCGATAGCTAATGTTTCTTGAGGACAGGCTTGCACTTTGATTGACTTAAACTTTAAGGAAGGACGATCCATCACGAAATAAGATCATTTGTATTTTCAATGTCAAGGTTCTGTGTGTATTCACATTGACAGAAGCGCAGTGTTCTTTGAATGGAAGGTTCAAAGGTGTAGGTGATTTTCTCTCCATGTATTTAGACAGAAGGTATATAGGTCAAGGGAATGTTTCTCATCATTTACTACGACAAAAGGTGCATAGTACAAGGGTGTTTATTGGTCAGCCGAAGGTACATAGTTCCAGGGGATATTTCTCACCATTTGCTATGACAGAAGGTACAAAGTCTATGGAATGTTCCTCACCCTTTACTCAGACAGAAGATACATAGTTCAAGGGGATGTTTCTTACCATTTGCTATGACAGAAGGTACATAAAATTGAAAATGGAAATGAGGAATGTGTCAAATAGACAACAACCCGACCATAGAGCAGACAACAGCCGAAGGTCACCAATGGGTCTTCAATGCAGCGAGAAACTCCCGCACCCGGAGGCGTCCTCCAGCTGGCCCCTAAACAAATATGTATACTAGTTCATTGATAATGGAGGTCATACTAAACATAGTCTATGGGATGTTCCTCACTCTTTACTCAGACAGAAGGTACATAGTTCCAGGGGATGTTTCTCACCATTTGCTATGACAGAAGGTACATAGTCTATGGGATGTACCTCACCCTTTATTATGAGAGATGCTCCTCGTCTTTTAGCCAGACCAAAGTTACATAGGTCTAGGGATTTACTTGTCATGTATTAAGATAGAAGGAACATATGTTCAGGGGATGATAAAGACAAAAGAGGGCTTTACTATTGTTGCTAGATTATAACAATAGAAGGTACATGATAATTTTGAATAAAAAGCGATAAAATGAGGTAGCAAACCGACAATTAAAAAAAAGAAACCCATTCAGTATGTCAAGCACTAAATCGCCCTTCAAGTTGTGAATTAATTAAACTGAGATTATCAGGATCTACCATCAACATTTATTCCTCAAAATAACAATCAAATTAAGATATGTCAACAGTCAACCACTGACGAGTGGTGCCCTACTTGATACAGGAACATGGGTATTGGGAAGCGTTACACAAATGTTTCAGATGTCAACCCTCCGCCTTGAATCTCGATCAGTTGATTAATAAAATGTACATAAAAAAGAATACGCAATAAAAATTAGAACAGAAAAAATTATACTCCTCTATCAATATAGTATTTAAGAATACGATAACAAAATAAAACAATTTAATAATCAATATCGTATTAAAAATGCTCGCAGTTGCTAAAAGCTAGCTTAACCGGCTTATATAAAATGATGCCGTCCTCTTCCGTTAACCTACTTTTATGAATATATCCATCGTTCGAGCTGTGAATAATTCTACAATACCATATATATTTTTGTTTTTCTCTTACCAGACTTCATTGTCATTGATATTACAAGGTATGATACAATTGATAACGTGACTAATTCTGGCATACATTCCGAATCATCTGACCATAAATACAAATATTTCGATGGTAGGAGAGGAATTGTTGTCAGTACTGTTGTGTTTTAAATGTTTTTCATGAACCGGTCATATATTTTGTAGTCTGGGTCTTGAATTGTTTAATAGTTTTCCAATTTCTGGGTAAGGGTTGGTTTAATAGTCCTGTAGCTAGCACTTTCATGTTGATATGTTCATTTTCTGTAAGATCACTGCCTGTAAAATGTTGAATTATTCGAAGCACTAAGGTTTTTCAACTTCCAGACATATACTGCCATAGCCGTTTTCATTTTGAAATTTTCGTTTTTTATGCTCTTCAATTTCGTAATTGATTTGGCCTTACAACTGTTTTGATTCGAACGCCACTTGTGTAGTCTTTCCGCCCTTATACCTTTTTCAAGATTTTTAAAATGATTATTATTGAATGAAGTTTACTTATTATTTTTAACCGTTTACAGTGTTTTCAGAGACAATTAACGCAACAATAAACTGTAATTTTGAGAATGGTTGGTGCGATTGGGATAATAAAGAAACCAGTTGCTTCGATTGGACGATTAGTAACGGGAAAACTGTGGATAAAACGTCTGGTCCGATAGCAGATCATACCACTGGGTGTAAGTATACTTTAAATGATGGTTAATGTTATTATTTTAAGACTGATATAACAGTTATCTGATAATACACAGTTATATAAACTCTGTACTTATATATGATATTGAAGAATCAAAGTAAAAAAATAAAAAAATAAATAAATGAAATTACGAAAGAGTTTATTTCATTATATGGTGTGGAACGTTCCAGAAATAAAGATAGACAAATATTTCAGCTAAGATGATCAATTAAAACATATTGTACGTAGAAAACCATATGCGCAGATCATTGAGCAAAAAAAAAAAACACTTCGTCATTTAGTGGATCAGAATTATAATACTTTTTAGCATCCAATGGTTCTTATGCTGTAATCTATGGCCGCCATTCACGAAATTCCTCCTGTACAGCAGTAATACACAGTCAAATCTTCCAAGTGACTGGAAACAACATCCTTTCATTTTGGTATCACATGAATGGAAATGGTATTGGTAGCTTGAATGTTTACTTAGTCAGTAAAGGCACTCGCCAAATGTTATGGAATAAAAGCGGTCGTCAGAGTCCAGATTGGCTACTTGCAACCATACCTATTAGTCCTGGGTCATATCAGGTAAAATAAAATTGCTATTATAATGATTCACGCTTTTGTTTTAAAACAAGTTTTAAAGTTTGTTAAAATACATTTGTGAAAATAGGGAAACATAACTGTACTGCTTGGCAGTGTCTTACATCTAGGACAATAGTGACGTAGAATTCGTGTCCAATCATTGTCTCACGACTCTCCAGAACTTACTATACATTTAATAGTAATTTGCAGATAAAATGATCATCCGATATTGCTATCAATATTATGTTGGCACGCTTCTACACAATGACCTGGTCAGTGTGAAACAGGTTAAACTGTCCTTATCAAAAGATTGAAAGTACCGATAATAGTTCATTCATGTCTGACGTCAACCCTTTGTCAAATTATCAAAATAGGTTGTGCTTTAAAAATTTATATGCTTATAAAATTCGTTAGGGTCAGAGAGGTTACAAAGTTGAAAAAGAGTAAGTCAAGTAAAAGGATTTTGCAAAGTCTTCATCAGTTCTCATATTATGAAAATTAAGGACTCGTTAATGTCAGATTACATCAACTGCTTGATACTAGCAAGGGAATTAGGTATTGACAACTCACTTGAAAACTCAAAATATACCCCACAACACTTACCAAAGAGGAAATCCTGAATGATCATAGGTCTATTCTATATGTTCCTTAAGGTTAATGTATAGTAAATCGGCTATGTCACATATTTTGGTAAAATTTTCCGTACAAAATTTTGCTCGTTGAACTACATGTATCACTGAAAATCGAAAAAATAATGCATTTATCTCTTATATGGTCTGAAATATTTCTGATTGAATTCTTTCAAAATAGATGAACATTTGTGTAGAAAACACATACAATCGGCGAAATATGTTCTTAAATTTGTCTTAAAATCATCAAATCTCAAATTTCTAGTACATAGATTTTTCTTTAAAATTATTTGTTGTTGATACATAAATTTCTGTTTAAAGTATGTAAAATAATCATATTATGTTCACCGACTTTGTTTTTGGTGTATTGCAATCTGCGTCCAAGTTTGTACTGAAAAACGCAATAATTGACGTTTTATGGCTTACAACTCGATGACGTAAGGCTTGTTTCGACGTATTGTCGTATTTTTTTTCACCTAGAACACCACTTCTATGATCAATACTGTAAAAACTAAGTCGGTTACCTTATTATTTTTTACATTGTTAAAACGGCAATTTTTGAACCAACAACATACAATTTTTAAAGAAAGTTTATGGACTTGAAATTGGAGATTTGATGATTTTAAGACCGATTTAAGAATGTTTTTCGCCGATTTTATGAGTTTTCTATACAAATGTTCATCTTATATGAAAGAATTCATTCAGTAATATTTCAGATGATAAAAGAGATAAATGTATTTGGTTTTCGGTTTTCAGTTAAAGTGCAACGAGTCAAGTTGGTATGCAACATTTTACAAAAAAAAACAAACAAACAAAAAAACAACTATAGGTCACCGTACGACCTTCAACAATGAGTAAAACCCATACCACATAGTCAGCTATAAAAGGCCCCGACAAATGTAAAACAATTCACACGAGAAGACAAACGGCCTTATTTATGTCCAAAACAATGAACGATAAACAAATATGATATACAGCAACAAACGACAACCACTGAATAACAGGCTCCTGACTTGGGACAGACACAAACAGAACCATTTACTGTACCATGACCTTAAGTAATATTTAGGCAGAAAGCTTTTATATGTGAAAACACTAATAAGTCATAAGTTTATACAATTTGTTATTAAAATTTTTCTATTGGAAATGAAATTTAAATGTGCTTAGCAGTGACTTATATCTAGAACTAAACCACGAATTTTATGTTCCATTCCTTATCTAACGACTCTTTAGAAATTATTATAAACTTGATTTACAGATTAAATGATCAGCCGATATTGCTATCAATATTATGTTCGCACGATTCTACACAATGACCTGGTCAGTGTGAAAAAGGGTATTACTGTTCTTATCAAAAGATTAAAAGAACCGATAATTATTCATTCATGTCTGACGTGTACGTCTTTGGTATGTCAACTTATCAAAGTAGGTTAAAATTTCCTTTCAAAACTAACCTATTTATGACATTTAATGATATTAAACAAGAGCAGAGAACTTTCAATATTGACAACTAACAAGTAAGGTAAAATGATTTGGCAAAGTCTCCATAAGATGTCATACTATGGTAATTAAGCAGTTGTTTTGCGGCATATTTCGTCCATGTTAAAGTTTGAATTGCTGATAAGACTAAAGTGGAATATTATTCACAATAGAAATTCGAATTTGATATTGGTCTGCTAAAAAAAAATGTGGGTCAGACATGTTTGATTTATGTTTGTAAATGATAAACAAATATCAATTGAAAAAAGAGCATTTGCTAGATTGTTGGCAATTTAAAAAGTTCGATGTACGAAACGTTTATACCTACGTTTACCATGGCCTAGTTCGTTTTTATATACAAGATTTATCAACAACACTTATACGAATTAATAAGATGTGGAATATGCACCAATAGAAGAGCAGTCTTACAACAAAAAGTTTGTAAAAACAAAATGACGTTAGTTGGCATTTGTTGTCTAGACAGAATAATCATGTATATAGAAGGTTAACTTTAAAGATCAACAAGGTAATAATGGTGACCATGGCACCTATGTCATTGTGATTTCATTTGTTATTCTTCAAACCCGTATTATATTCGTCCCCGAGGGAAACACCAACCCAGTAGTCAGAACTCTTATTTTTACATGAAACATGTAAATGAAATTTTTGTAATTACGATTTTAATTCGTCATTTCGAATTCAAAGCATATTTTTGGAAGGACCTAAATGGGCTTCAGTAAATTACAAAATATTTTTAAAACACAACAATAATAATAATATATAGTGTAATATACCAAATAACGCTAATAATATATAGTGTAATATACCAAAATCGAAAAAGAGAAGGTCTGTTAACCTATTTTAGTCCAAATTTAAATCAAAAACAACAAGACCACAGCTATTTTACTAACATCTATATCTAGGAATTGACAAATGAGAAAAAGATAAAAATAAATGGATTATTTTGAAAAAAGAGAGTGTTTCGGGAGAGTAACCATCAGATTCTATATTGATATTTTCTTCACCTCTTTTCAAATCCATGTTGAGGTAGTTAACATAACGTAAATATTAGTATTTCCCATTTTCATTCTCAATTATATTATCATAAGCTATCAAGGGTTATTTATAATTAAGTTTTATATATTCCTTTGTATGGGCTAATATAAATTGTTATCATCGTTTATAAAGGACAAAATATAAACTTCATAATTTGGTTAAACTTGTGTGCGATCCTTTTTGTACAAATTGATCAAATAAAAGTTTTGTTACTACATTTTAACTCATATGATTACATGATTATTCCAGTGCAATAATCAAAATATTGTATACTTTCTAGATAGAATTTGAGGCCACAGCCAAATATCATTATGGAAGCGATCTGGCAATAGATGATATAGCCTTGAGAAAAGGTAAAAGAAAAGGTTTTTTGAAATCGCATTTACCTCTTAAAGAGATATGGATAGCTTATGATTATTAGAGCAAAATATCGTAAAGAATAAAAGAAAGTATGATTTGTAAATCGTGTTTACCTATCGTCATACTAATTTGTTTATCCTGTTATGCTTCATACTAGGAAATATAATTCTATAATACTTTACGTATTAGAACAATAACTATCATCAGTACTTCTATTAACATTTGTAGATTTTGAAAATGATTTTGCTTTTTTCAAATTGTTATGTGTTATGCAGACTCATGTATAATGTACTTTTCTTCAGCATCTCCATCTTCACTCCAGACAACACCTCCCTCATCTCCGACAATTGTTACAATAGCTTCATTACCAATTGATTGTAATTTCGAAGATGGATTTTGTGGATTTCAGACTGATAAGAGTAAATTTTCATTGGTATCATGGTCAAGAAAAAGCGGAACAGAATCTCTTGGGAATTTTATGTTTTTACGGGGTGATAATACAACAGGCACTGGTAAACATCAGTTTTTTTAACATAATATTCATCTATCAAATATTCTTTATGGACAGTGTTCTATAAAGATAATGTTTTATCATATTCTAGAAATAATTTTTATTTTTTTAAAAGTTTTACTTTCACATTTTGCAATATACATATTCGGTTTATTCGGGCACAAATAAAAGAAATAATTTATTTTTGTTTTTCTATTGACACATTCAAGCAATTAAAAATTATATAACCTTGATGCTTAACATGAGAGTCCTAGGGAGAACAACTGATTATAATTATGAAATTTTGAGGTTCCATCACTGGAAATTATAATGTCAAAACATGATGCTTGAAAGAAAACAATCTAATAAATTATACCTACATAGTAGTAGACAATGTTTCCAGAACAAGAAAACGTTTCAACCAATACTTTAAAAAAATAAATGTGAAAAAAACACATTATTTGATTCTTTATAACGTCAATCTGGCACATGATTATAAACAGATATCTAATTGAACTATAAACAGCTGTCATACAAGTTGGAGGTTCAGCTAGCTATAAAATCAGGTTAAACCCACCATTTTCTTCGGAAAATGACTGGACCAAGTCAGGAATGTGACAGTTGTTTTCCGTTCGACCCTTTGGCTGATAAAGTATAACGTTTAATTTTGTTAGTTTTTTATGGACTTCTCATTTTTGAATTTATCTTGAAGTTTGGTATTTTTGTTATACTCTTTGAAATACTTCTAAAAAAAAAACATTAAACACCAAAATCGAGTAAAAACAGACCTTTTTAATATCAAATAAAACTACATTACTCAGCATCACGATGGACGAATACGGACGCCAAACGATGAGAATAGCTCACTTGACCCTTCGGATCAGTTTGCCAAGAAATCACGGTTTTGGCAAAATAAGACAAACGTCTAGTGATCTCAGAAATGTACTTTCTACAATTATTTATATGTAAACAAAAGTTCATGTTGAAAAGACTTTAATCTATCTAGTAACTAATTATATAGTTATATGAGTTACCAACAGGACTACGTACAATGCTTTTAAACCAGTGATGTTTCATCGAAAGAATACCGAAATACGTTTAAAAAATTTAAGACGCCGATTTTTTTACTTTAATTAATCTCCCTCTTTCAGGTTTAGACACTATTATTCTGGTGTTCTGGTTGTATATTTAAAACATAATATAATTCTATTCCATTATGTTGTAGGTTCATATCTTTCGTTGACTGTAGATAAAAAGACAGCTTTGAGCGGGGACAAAGCTAATTTATATATACCTGCAATACGTACTAGAAAGATGACTTGTTTAACCTTTGCCTACAGTCTTCCTAGCAACACCAGTGGTAGTTTACAAGTATTTGAGACAGATACTAATACTGGTACTGCTACACTTATGAGACAAGTGTCGGGCTACCATGGACCTCACTGGAAGTCAACATTTGTTCAATTCGTACCGTCAACTGATCCACTGGTGGTAAGGAAAACATATATTTGTATAATTATCTATTATTTTTTAAGAGTGTTTTACAAGGCTTAAAATATCAAACAAACTATCAACATCGTCCTAACTTAAGCAGAAAACTTAACATTGATAATTGCTAATTAATTCAAAGTTATTGGACCATGACTTAGGGGGCAGGGCATCGAAATAGTCGTCAAACTGATATGAACTGATAGTATTGCAACTTTACATTAAATATCATTGATCTATCACAAGTTATTCTTATCAAACGAACGTAAGCAAAAAAACTTAACATTGAAATAGCTAATTAATTCAAAGTCGCTCGACCATGACCTAGGGGGCAGGGCCTCGAAATAATCGTCAAACTGATATGTACTGATAGTAATGCAACTTTATATAGAATATCAATGATCTATCACAAGTAGTTGCTATCAAACTAATTTAAGCAGAAAACCTAACAATTATTGACGCCGTCGTCGCCGGAGCAGTCGCCGAAAAAGCAATCCTTATGTCTCACTTTCCGTGACTTTCGTCGAAGGCAAGACAAAAACAATGAACGAAATACAAATATGATATACAGCAACAAGCGACAACGACTGAATAACAGGCTCCTGTCTTGGGACAGGCTCCTGACTTGGGACAGACACATACAGAACGTGGCGGGGTTCAACATGTTAGCGGGCGACAAACCCTCCCCCTTACCTGGGACAGTGCTGTAAGAGTACAACATATGAACAAATTATAAAAATCTGTTGAAAAGGGCTTAACTCATCAGATCGATACAAAGCAGAAAAACAAGTAACAAAAAAACAGACCAGACGTGGCAGGGTATTTATACATCCCTACACCAAAAAAGACACTTAGTACAGATCTGAGAGTACTCGCGGTTGCTGACAGCTAGTTCAAAGCCAATAACAACCATTAAAAAAGCATGTATCTAAGACTAAAGTATCAATCAGTACACATCCAACATCCAATGAATGTAGTGTAAAGACGTCATTAACAGTCAGAGAAAAATATGACCTTGTGCAATTCCAAAAATACAGGTATCGACAGATTGTATAACCGTGAATGTGCATATGTATATATAACAATAATATTAGTTTGGTTTTAATTTACTGATAACAAAATCAATATTTATACCAATAAAAACAATATTTAAAGATCTAATTACAATGTAAAATGGTAACCTTTTAAAATAAGTTTATTTAAAGGATCGATTAGTTTATCCGGCTCGTATCCAAATTTTGGTCCTCGATAAACAACATCTCCGTAAAAATCATTTTTCTACTGGTACAGCCAAACTTACAAACCAAATCTTTGTATCTATGGAAGAATTTAGTAAAGGTTTTAAGTAATTAGTGGTAACGAAATCTCTGACTAAATAATTTACCAGTAATACATAGATTACGTTCATTGAAATCCAAAACGTCACTACAGACACGGGCATAGCGAAGGAGTTGTGTTATATAAACACCGTAAGATAGTGCCAAAGGAACATCACCATCCAAAAAAGGAAAATTAACAATAGGGAAAGAAAAATTTTCCCTTTTGTCGTAAATTTTAGTTTAGAGTTTTCCGTGTAAAACTGAAATATCTAAATGTAGGAAAGGACAGTTATTACCATTTATATTTGATTTATTCAAAGAAAGTTCTTTTGGGTAAATTTTGGAAGTTTATTTAGAAAATTCATGATTATTTAACGAAAAAATATCATCAAGATAATGATAAGTGTTGTTGAATTTATCAATTAAATGCAATTTAGACGGGTCTTTACTGAGTTTTGTCATAAACTGTGATTCATAACAGTCAAAGAACAAGTCTGCTATTAAAGGGGCGCAATTGGTGCCCCATATGAATACCTACAACCTGTCGATACACTCTATTCTGTTTTTCCCCTTGTATTATTTTATTTTTCTACGACTTGATTATACGTTTTTATTTAGAAATGATAAATATGTATTACAGATTGTAATAGAAGGCTCCTATACAGGAGAACCAGGCTGTGTAGTCACCATTGATGATATTCACTTAGCGGAGGGCATTTGTAAGTACTATGTGTTATATAAAAAATAGTATTTTCAAAAGTTCAGATATAAGTAATGATAGAATATTTTGTTCCCTACTTATTTGAAATTGTGATCACTATGTTTGAGCTAACATTTAAAAAAAAAATTAATTTTGAAATATCTCTTTTAAAAATCATTAGTACTTATAGTGTACCCATTATAATATTTTTAGATAAACATATCTTTTGGGTAATAAAGGATATAGGATAGCGTTGATTAAGCTATTTATTTGAATTGTTATTTTTAAAATGACATGAATTCCTTATTCAAACTTTGAGCTTGAAAATACATTATGTGCAACTCCTCCGTGTTTCATCCTACGGATTTGTATGAAATCTAATTGCAAAGAAAGGACTTTGTAAATTATATCTACAAGTTAAGTTATATAGTATAAGGAAAAGGAGGTTTTAATTTGCAAGTTTTTTTCCGACAATGCAACTGGTTTCTATGATATTGTTTCGATCAATGATTATTTTGTTCTCAATTCACTCATAAGGCCAATTTCCCAAAAATGTATTTCACATCAGAATGAAAACAAAGAGAGTGTAGTATGCTTGTCAATGAAAGAGTTATCTACCAAAGATAAAATGACAAGGAGGCTAATTGAAAAAAAATCAGTCTATACAAGAAATTTATATAATCAAAGCTTCTTGTTTGTACTTGAGGATTCTCATTTTGCCCAATTCTCCTTCTTCCGGGTTCCTCGGACTTGAAGTTGCCGACGAAAATTCCCAGAAACCGCAATTCAGATGTATTTTCACATTACAAAAAGCATTACAAAAACATTCATGTATTTGGAGAATCTAATGAATGGAAAACTTTTCTAAATGACAAGATATATCAAATAAGTTTATAGTGAGTCCCAAAGAGTCATCCCCATCCCCTGTCATTTGATAATGTTTTTTTATCTTGCAAATGTTCGAGTTCTGCACCCCTAAACCATATATTTTCTTCTTGGACATATCATGATGAATTTAATTATATAAAAGATGAGTTCCCACGTTTCCCTAACCCCTGTTATTTGATAATATTCTAATATCTTCGAAATTGTTGAGAATACCACCCCTAAACCATTTTATCTTGACTAAATTTTCAAGGGTCCCCAGGGGTATATATTAATGTATATGAAGGCCACCCTCAGGGCCAGAGAAACCTAACCTTATAAATGATTTTCTTAATCGTAGGTATTACTTCAGTGGGACTAAAACTGGATGTCCTGACAAAACAGTTTTCTGTTTAATAGAGGTGATCTTTATAGCAGGTTCGACTGTATATAAAGATAGATTTGACCTCAGTGGTTATAAATCACTTTGTCAAAATTAATGTTGTGTCACGTCCTTTCTAAATACTAGTAATTTTTATTTTATGTTCATATGTTGTGTTGTTACATCACTTTCCCATGTTTTGGGTTGCGCTCACAAATACGTTAAAGCCCGCATCATATTTTATGTGCATGTCTCAACCCAGAAACCTGTAATCTATTGATTGTCGCTGATTCTTGTTTGCCATATTCGTTTTTCGTTCATTGTTATAGTATAAAAAAGGCCTTTGTGTTTCCCTATTGCATAGTTTCACATTTTGTCAGAACCTTTTGTAGTTTACTTTACGGTATAGGATTTGCTCGTCGCCGAATGCCTTACGCGAACTCTTTTATTATAATATTATTCACACTGCTTATTTATCGCCGCTCGTAAGACAAAGTGATTGTACAATAGAAAAGTTGATTGGACATTAATGACAGTTTGTCAGGCCTTCAGTCAGCTTTCATTAGAATTATTTCACATGGGAGTAACTGTATTTTCTATAAAATTAAGATTAATTATATTTATTTTTTTCATTGTACATGTAATTAAGCCACGGGTACTACGCCTCTAAAAAATCGAAAACTTGTTTTGTATGAAGCGGATTTTTGGGATCAAAATAGATTTCCTTAACTTGGTTTTTATATTTGTACCAAAGTTGTGTTTTTTTTCAATTAATATTTATTGAACCATCATTCTTAATATTTTCCATGGTATTGTAAAATTGTGGAAATGTTTTAACCGATTTGCCGAATGATTTTGCATGGTTCAAACATGCACATTTTAAATTTTACTTTGCATTTTAAAATACAAATGGAAGTTCAATACTATCAAAGATCACCGATTCTCTGAGAAAATAAGGCACTTGTTCTTAAGTTTGGGTTGAATGTGTTGATGCTTTACATGCTTAATTAAATGATTTTTTTATAACAGCATAAACCCCTTTAATCTCTTGTCATCAAATAAGTTGCAATAATTGCAACTACTTCAGGTGATATGTGTCTTTATATAAACTTCAAATGACATTTTCAAATGTATCGTAAAAACTAAACAAATTAGAATTTTCGAATGACTAATTTCTTTTTTTGTTGAAACTGGGAAATATTTACGTTGTACACCGTGAAGTATAAAGAAAGTTGTATATGTATCTATGCTATTGTGGTCATCATTTGTGCATTTAAAAAAGGGATATTGCGCAGGGACATTCCCATTTGATAACTTAAAAAACGCACAACTTTCAATTAGTCTTAAATAATTTTTACGTTAGATTTAGAATCTGATTGCAAATGAAACAAAATCAAAAACAAATGGATTGCAACTGTTGCCATTTTGGTAATTTTAGACTTCATCATATTGAACTTCGATATATGTCTAAAGTGCGATTACACGTTATTCGAAAACGTTTGCGTATTCTAGTTGTCATTTGATTATTTCTGTCAATGGTTTACTGTGAGAATATTGTTACACCAGAACTCTTTTAATTCCTTTAATGCATATATAATATGAATTAGTTTCTAAAATATCAAGGTGACTTCTCAAAAGAAACTGGTGCAAATGGCAATTATACATACATAGAAAACAAAGATAATTTACATTTAGGTGACGGATATGTCCAAACAACAACAACGACGACAACTACTACAACTAGGCCGACAACGCCCACTTTACCAGCAATGTCATTCAAAGAAACATCATCCTGTCACTCAGAACATGTAGATCTATTAAATGCATTATCATGCGACTTTACAAGTGATTTTTGCAGTTATACCCTGATTGACTCTCCTGTGCATTGGCAGAGAAAGCAAGGAAAAGATGGCAATTGGCTTTTGAAACTTCCGGAAAGGAATAATACATCATCAGGTACCTTACTACTTCCTCACCTACGTGTATTTTTCACCAAATGAAAAGTATGCAAAATAAAAACAACTTGTTGTTGGAAGACTTTTCAAAATTGAAATTCAGTTAATACCTGAGACTAAAAGAAGTCAGAGGATAAATCATTTTCGAATATTTTCATGAGTTAGTTGGAAGCTTAGTTTCTTAATAAGTTTTGAATTTATAAACCAGAAAATCGTTTTTACAACAGTTTCATTTAAAAATTGTCCATATAATTTAGCCATGTTATTCATTTTTATTTAAACGCATGGGGTATTTTAAGGCTGCATTTCATTCGGAAAAAGTTACATTTACCTGTTTTTTCGTGAGTGTTTTGAAGCTAACAACCGTTTATTTAATTTGCGTTCTAAACCTTTGTTCTAAAGTGCTTCGTCATACAAGAAGCATGGACCATTTTCGTTAATATAGAAATAAAACATTTATTTTTCTATTATACTAGCTTTTGTCGTAGACGCTCATAGTAATTAAAACACTGGGGAAAGGTATTATTAATATGTTTGTTCAGTTTCGAATACACAGCATACAAAATTGAATTACAGTAAGATATTTAGCAGATAACAATATCCTATTTCACATCTACTTTGATGTTTTTTAGGGTATTATCTTACATTGAATATGTCAACATATCGTGTACCACATGGTGAAGGAATACTCAAAACTCCAGAAATAAATCTCACTTCAGTTTGTGTAGAATTCTGGTACAGTATGCCAGGATCAACTTCAGGTATCAAAGTTGAAATAGAAACTTCTTGGGGACATGTTGAGACAATCTGGAGCAACAAGGGAAAAATAAATGCTGGTAAATGGAGTACACAAGCATTGGTTATCAACTGCTACGACAAGTATAAGGCAAGTACAGTGTCTAAAATTTCGTTTACAAAAACGGATATTTATGATACTAAAATTTTCTACTTTAACCTTAATTTTGTATTCGTCAATACCTTAGGTTCGTAAAAAAGACAATGTATTCACAACGGACGGTTTACTGTGTTATTTTATGTGTAGTTAGATCAATGCTACAAGACTTTTATATGACTATCATATGAGCATATGGTAATCGTTTCGTACGTCCGTCATTCCATCTGTCTGAAACAAATGGTTTCCGGTTAATTAGTTTATTATCTTGCCATCATTCATCCGAACTTTTTCACCTTGTTATATTTCACTGGTCACTTTTCAAATGGTGTTCATCGATGGAAATATTTCTTTGAGACGTTATGCGATAGCTAATGAAGATATAACTTGCTAAAATGACTAATACTGAATTTAAAAGTGGAATCATACGGATGGTAGTATATAAACTACTACGGAGAAAATTATAACGTAGTAATACAATGGACACCAAATATCTCATTATTAGCACAGTTTTTCTTATTACGAAACAAGTAATTTCATCGTTTAAAGATTCATTAGCTGTCAAATTCATGTTCACCGATTTGACTCAAATTCTCATATTTGATTTATATCAAACTAAAACGTATATCCAAATTACAAAAAGTCTAAAATAAACAATTGACAATGCAGGGATTCGATAATGTGTATCAACATTTCATGTGTATTTTAGTCTAGACGCCATCTAATTAACCATCAAGGTGACCTCCGAAGACTGCCAACGGTCATATAACCCAATATAAACATAAATAGAGATATAAATAGAAAGCGAACACGTGGAATTGGATTTTTCTAGGTCTGTTTGATTTCATATTATAGGTTAAAAAATATGTTAATCATCGTTTTTACTTGTATAAGCATGAGTTTTTGTGGATCGCATCAGTCAACCAAATGGTTTACCATTGTTTCACTTACAATGTTGACATTCTTTTCCTTTTATTAGTTGAACACGCCTAGTTCGTGCGTAACTGATCTCTAGCTATGAGGTAAAATTGAAGTTCACATGATACGAATTCAATGAGGTCGAATTATTCACTTGCAAGTGAATAATTCATCAGCGATGTTTCTTAGCTTATTTTATCTAAATTGAACCAAACTGGCGGCTAAAAGCGAATTGTTATTTCACTATTTCACTTTTCGTTAATGATTGAACAAAAACAAAATCATATTTTTATTTTGTTTATATCTCGTTGCTAATGCCCCTTTAAACTATAGCACCGTACTCACTTAAATTCAACAAAGATAACTACAGTCAACGATTCACAGCACACCTATTTTTCTTTGATATTTATGATTATGATTTTAAAGACAGTGTCAAAATTAAAAATTAATGTTCAGCTGCATATCTGGGCTTATTTCACGAATGTGACCTACCGAACTAGACTATTTACCGGATTTGTAATAACATAAGCAACACGATGGGTGCCACAAGTGGAGCAGGATCTGCTTACCCTTCCGGAGCACCTGAGATCACCCCCAGTTTTTGGTGGGGTTCGTGTTGCTTAGTCTTTAGTTTTCTATGTTGTGTCATCTGTACTATAATTTGTCTGTTTGTCTTTTTATTTTTGGCCATGGCGTTGTCAGTTTGTTTTCGATCTACGAGTTGGACTGCCCCTCTGGTATCTTTCGTCCCTCTTTTACTGTTACGGACAATACCCAAGCAGGCAAAAACGAATACTATCCATTTCACGCCATTTTTCATCTGGTTGTTAACAAAATATTAACTATATTAACTCAATTGAATCCTTTTTTTAATGTTAAGCACAATATCATAGTTCAATAATGAAAACGAACTAAAAGATATCCCTAACTATAAGACTTTAAAAAAAACCCGTATAGGATATGACCTCACTGACATTTAAACAATTGTATTTCGATGACGTCCAGCTAAAACTTTTTTTTTCTGTTTATGGTTGAACGAGCATCAAATACATTGACATATTCATATTTTACAAAATATTTTACAGGTATAAAATCAATCATACATTTAACAATTTTTCTTAAAGAAAACGGAAAATCAAACAAACAAACAAACAAAAAGTGTACAAAATAACCACTGTCAACTTATATATAATGATTATTACAAAACATAAGTTGCTTTTACTGCAAATAGATTTTCATACCATACAAATATTTTAAAATATTTCCAATGGTATATCACTACCAAAAAGTATTTCAAAATTATTTTTCTTTTTTACAGATTTTATTTTCTGCAAACAAGAAGACATCAATGTCTTATGTTGGAATTGATGACATCCACATTTATGGAAAATCAGAAGGTAAGTGGAACAAACTGTAGGAACAAAAAAGAGAGTATATATGTGCAAAGAATTCATTAACGTTACCAATTTTTCTGCATCAGATTCGCATTTCGACAATGAATGTCTCTTGAGTGATGCTTGAGGCCAAATATTTGAAATCAAAAACTTATTAAAAAATGTATTTATAAACCAAAAAGGACAAAAAATATAGCAAAATCCGGACTTACATTTCTGGACCCGGTTGTCACGAGTCAATATTTGGTTAAATATAACCGTTCGATGAATATAACCGCTGGTTAAATTTAACCCAGGGCAAAATCTTATCACCGATAGTTCAGAAACCAAGAATTAAAATAATGTTGCTCAACTTCTTTTTAAACTATCAAAACCAAAGTTTTAGCAACAATTTCCTATGATCGTAAACAATCTCTTTTAATTGAAAACTATTATTACTTCTTTGTAGACACACAACCATTTTCAGCTTCAAATTTCATTAGTTAGTAGAAGTACAACGGGGACGTGACAGAGGGCATTTTTGTTTTGAAAGTCGGAGTGTAGTGATCGTTGAATTGTACTTTATTACTAAATATACATATACTATCTTCGTAAAAATGAAATTTCGCTTAAGATGTATTTGAGAAAATAACATAACTCAGCAAACAAAATGTTGATCCGATTATTAGGCAAGGCACATATAACGTTGACATCGATGTTAAGAGGGCAATGGACCCTAACACGTGAATTGACCATTTTAACAAAGAATATCGTTGAAATTAAGGTCATGATCTATTATTATACAAAATGAATCATGAAGTCTGATTATACTAATGTAACATCTTATACTAATATCATGCAAATAATTGTTTTTGTCATGAAATGTCACACTGGAGTGCATTGTCTAGTGTTTAATTATTTCTCAAGTAAAGGTCTGAACATAGAAACAAAATGTGCCGAAAGGTTTTATGTTTGGTAAGATTGTTTGTCGGCATGTGTAGTTGACCGTATATGAGGGGGTGGACAGCTTTTGAGGGAGGTGGGTGGTGGGGGAGGTGGTTTAGAAATTCAATTTGTCTCCACGATTCTTGTGGGAGTTATGGGACAGTGACCATTTTTAACTATTGTAACAGAATGAAACCTTGTAAATATATTTCCTCTGAGACTCTTATCGCGAAAGGCTTCATTCTTGATATGATTGTTTGTCGTCATGTGTAGTGGACCATGCTATACTATAATTTTCGGCGCGAGTAATTGGATTTTTCATCCTTTTGCAGCATATTCACACTTTATGACTGTATTCCACAGTACACATCGGCAGGCGAAATTTCGCCAAGGTGTTGAAATTTGATTATTTATGTCACAGTTTTTGTTTGAAATGCTGAATCTTTATCAAATGTTTCAATTTAAAGACAGAAAAGGTACTTAGAGAAAGACGAACCATTGCTTAATCATACAATAATCATATTATTTTCGAAATTTCTAATTTTCAAAATAAGCATTATCAACAGCGAAATAGTTTTATTTTGCAAAAATAATGACATGACAAAAGCTCAAAAAGTATGACGTGTCTGAGATTTCTAAATGTCCTATTCCGTGATAATGACTGGGTATATATTCGTTTAAATGACCTTGCAAGACCGTATTTTTCAAAATTGATTTATTTTTCAACTGGACCTTAGTTAAAATATCTGAGACACAATTTTGAAACATTATTATTTATAAACTTAATATCTCTTAAGCTGATAGCGCTAAATTTAGAATAGGAAAAGTGTTTCTTTCTTCTTCTTCTTCTTCTTCTTCTTCAATTTCTACCAAAAATGAACATTTAGAAACATGCTTGTAATTACGATTTTATCAGCATGCTCAGAACGATTTATGGCTGTCTCTTCTTTAATATGATACTTCATTCGTCTTGATTTTCTTTTAAATGTAAAAGTTATGAATATTGAAATACGATCATAGCACAGTTTTTGATTTAGACCTCTGTTCACCTCAATTTCTATAATACTGCATACGGAGTATATATCTCCCAATTGATACGATATTTCCGGGCTTGTATTTCCTATCATGATTTCCATGATAGAGGATTGCTGCTCACAAGGAAGCTATTAAACCAAGAGTTCCAAATGGTGAAGTTGAAATCATCCCTTCGTAAATTTTACGGACGCCATCACGAGTTGGTTGACCGTTATGGAATAACCGTTTCACAGATGATATTGGATATGTTCCTTATGTCGTAACTACAATACTCTTCCCCTTTCACGAATGTGACCTACCGAATTAGACTATTTACCGGATTTGTAATAACATAAGCAACACGACGGGTGCCACATGTGGAGCAGGATCTGCTTACCCTTCCGGAGCACCTGAGATCACCCCCAGTTTTTGGTGGGGTTCGTGTTGCTTAGTCTTTAGTTTTCTATGTTTTGTCATCTGTACTATTATTTGTCTGTCTTCATATTTTTGGCCATGGCGTTGTCAGTTTGTTTTCGATTTATGAGTTTGACTGTCCCTCTGGTATCTTTCGTCCCTCTTCTACAACATCTTTGTAAATAGAAAAACATTGATATGTTAATCTTTATATCTTAAATAATTATAAGAAGATGTGGTATGAGTGCCAATGAAATAACTCTCCATCCAAGTCAAAATTTATAAGAGTAAACCATTATAGGTCAAAGTACGGCCTTCAACACGGAGCCTTGGCTCACACCGAACAGCAAGCTATAAAGGGCCCCAAAAATTACTAGTGTAAAACCATTCAAACAGGAAAACCAACGGTCTAATCTATATAAAAACGAGAAACGAGAAACACTTATGAACCACATCAACAAACGACAACTACTGAACATCAGATTCCTGACTTAGGACAGTTGCAAACAATTGCAGCGGGTTTAAACGTTTTAATGGTACCAAACCTTCACCCTTATCTGAAAAAATAGTGTAACATCACAACATAGAAAAACACACTATAAAATATCAATTGAAATGGCTTAACTAAATCAAAAGACATATTAACACCAGTGAACATACACTGAACAAATAAATTTGATCTATGATACAATGCAAATACAAAATAAATAAATCAAGGGAAGAATAATTAAAGTAACATGTTATACCGCTGTGAAATGTTAAACAATTTAAGAAAAACAATATACTTGAACAAAAATATCAGCCATTTGCAATTACTTCAAACACAGGTAAATAAAAATAATTTTGTTGTTAGGTATACGTGTACAGTTCAAATAGAGAAAGGAAATATTTTTACAAAATAAATAATTTTGATGTTCATAGTACGAAGAAGTGAAAATTTATAGTAATACCAAACACTTATCAAAGCTGGTATAAAAACCAGATATAACCATGAATAACATTAAATAACAAAAAAGCATTACAATTAGTATCAACAGGTCATTAACAAGAAAGTACGATTGGAATGTACTCGCAGCATATACATCTGACAAGGATAGCAATGTTCAGAATGTGAAGATCTTCCTTATGTTTATTTTGACCAAAACTTTCAATAGATAGAGAGAAACTTTTAATACTAAAAATGATTCTCAGGACAAGATCTACAATAAGTAAACAAATACGAAATGGTTAGTTGACTATTTATAAGAGTTATTGCCCTTGAAAGACGCTTTTACCTTTTTGTGTGTATAAGAAAAATATAGTTTATAGACAGAAACTGTATTTAGCAGAACTGATCGGTAGAACAACATCTACAAATAAACCAATATAGCCGAAATTTCTTTACAAGGAGCGGTTGCATTTGAATAGTGCATTTGCCTTGTTACATGTTTTTTTTTGCGAACACTGAAGTATATTTAATTAAAAAGTAAAAAACTAAAAAGAATCAACAGGACAGAATCTACATTAAGTGTCAAAAGCGGAAACTATCAGTCAACTTCCTTTTGGAATAATTTCTTTTGAATGGCCATATCTATTATTTCGTTTCTCGAAAGTATAGTGGATAGAGAGTAGCATGATTAGTGAATATAATCGAAATTGTCAGTCGAATTGCTATAGGATTCACTGCTCTTGAATGGCAATTTTTACCGTTTTTGTAGTGGTTTATTTCTGAACTATAGACAATGGAGTGAGAATGTAATAACCAAAACAAAATAATCAGCAAGACAAGATCTAAATAAAGAGTTTACTTCTTCTACGAGTTATTGTCCTTTAATTAGAATTTTTTACTCTTTCTGTGATTTTTGCGGATACTTTTGCGGACAGAAATTAAAAAAGCTTAACTGATCAACATGGCAAAATTTACAGATAAATCAACGTGGCCGAAATCGTTAATCGGCTATTTTGTTTTTGAGGAAAGCATTTGGAAAGAAATTAGAAATATCAAAATGATCAGCTTCTTGGAAACTTAAGTTTAGTTACACATTGAGTATAAGTTTTTTCAAGAACTTTCTGTTCGTATGCTTCTTAAAATGATCACAACATTTTTCATTGTTTAGTTATTTGTCTTAATAGTGTTTCATTCTCTAGAATATATTTGTTAGTAAATATCATAGTTGGTTCGATAAGTATTATATAGTATACACATATTAAATTAAAAATGCATTCCACCAATTTACTTCAGTAACTACATCAAGTTCTGTCACCAATACTGCCTTTATTACAAACCTTACTTCACCTTCAACTAAGGATGCAGGATTAATAACTACTACAACAAAGCTAGGAAAAGAAAGATCAACCAAACAGATGCCGTTACTGACAACTGTACATCAGAAACATATCTCAACAGATTTGAAATTTACCAAGAACAAACCTTCATCCACCGAACATTCATTTTCACCATCTACCTTACAATCAACGTTTAGTAAGTACCTGACTAAAGATATTAAAATGTGTTTCTATAATCATGACAGGTAAAACTACAGATTAAAGTTCTACAGCAGAAATTAAACATGTGACATCAAAATCATTAACTATCATCGGGGGTCGCGGAAGCTGCCCTTTTTAACGAAGAATAATTAGCACGATAGACTTATTTGAAACATATAGCTATGCTCACCAGAAAGTCTAAGTACCTTCACAATACTAATTGGCCAAAATTGCAAAGGTTTTCATATCCATGTCATACTTCTTTAAGTACACTAGTGTTCTTCATAACTTAGTGTTTAATCCTTCCAACTTACTCATTAAAACAAAAGACAATTGCTGGAATTGTATACATTTTTGTATATATTTCATTTATTTGCTTCTAACTAACAACTTTTCACTAGAAAATTGCTAACATTTTTTACTTGATGACGAGTTTGAAGAAATTATTTTAAACTGCAATTAAAAGACATTTTGGTCAGTTAATATTGCAAAAAGACTAAACCTTTCGGATATTTACAGTAACAAGATTGAGAACATACTGCAATCGCAATTGAACCTCATCAGTCGAACACATAAAGGACACCTTTGGTTTATTGATGCTCTAATCTCGTAAATCTAATTAAGAAATAATTCATAAAAGCCATAGATTTGTTGGAAATTTATTCATGGCCTGGGCCGTGATATTCGAACTTCATACTGAGCGTTAGCGAGGGATAAAGTTAACGAATACCACGGCCCAGGCCATGTGTAAATTTACAACAAATCTATGGCTTTCATGAATTATTTCGATTCTAATAGGACAAATACAGTCATTAAAAAACTGAAGCGAGGGTGGGTGTGCCGTATGTGTGGCTGTTCTTTTTTACTCCCTGTTAGATAAAGCTAAAACATTCTAATAAATCTGTAGCTGGCATGAATTATTTCGTAAACAACCGCTAGAAAAATGTGCTTAATTCTTTTAATTCTCAAACCCAACATTTGCCATTTTTAAATTACTTGTTTTTTCTCGTAAGCTACCGTCAAATCCAAAGTTGACATTTCGTAACTAAGGAGCAGCCGTGTTGACTTGCTGAAATCAGTAAATATGCGAATAATGCAATAAAATAGAAAATAAAACAACACCTACCTCAAAAATCCATGTTAATGTAATATTATACGAATTTCGATGCTTCACGTAACGGAAAAACCTTCAGCTTTAGCGTTTTCATTTGTAACACGTCATGTTTTGAAATGACTTTTAAAAATACGCCAAAAGCATTAATGGACTTTCGCAGAATTTTATTTTATTTTGATTTTGTAGATTACTCAGAGCTCTTGTGCATTTATTCTTTTTGTTATGCATCCGAATAAGAATAAAAGTTCTGTAGTCTTTTTTCAATTGCAATTTTTAAAATAATAAAATCGGCATAGCGTTTGCTAATAGGTTCCAATACATGTGGATTTACGAGGGAGGTATATTGTAACACCCATTATTATGTATATCTCTGAGTCTGCGCTAAGTATAGATATAGCGAGAATTTTATCACGGTGTTGTTTACAAAGCGAAAGAAGCACGTCATATTAGAATAATGCATTTCAAAATTGAAATTAAAAGCAAAACTTGAGGGAAGCACGATGGAGCGAGACCAGGTTCGTGAACACAGGAAATGTTTCCTGCTATGTATGCATCACCCATCATGCGAAACAACACTCATTATCGTTAATTAGACAACATCGGTAAATGATAAGATCAGACGACTCTACGACTCTACTGCAGACTTGATATATAAATCTGTGTAAAAATGTTCCTACTGAGTTCGGATACTGAAATATCGTATCAAGCAACCAGTTATGGATCGTGACAAGTGGCCATACAATTTGTAGTGTCGATTTCAGTCATGTTTTCTCACAAGCCAGTTGAAGCAGTTTTTGAGTCAGGAGAACAACTCTGTTAATAAGGATGTATAATGTGAAAATGTAAATAACCATTTATAACTGTGGTGCTTCCGAAGCGGTTTTCTAGAATAACCTTAACAGGAACGCTAAAAACCAAGTGATCTGAAAGATACTGAAATATACATGAGGAACTATATATGATCATTGGGGCCTAAGAATAATAACTAAATAAAACTAAGGTAAACCTTTGCCTGAAAAAATGGAACCTTTTTTTCTTAATAATTTCAAAATTGAACAACGGAGAATAAAATAACTCGAAGTATAAGGTAATATGCACTCGCATACCTATCAGTTTAAAAAATAAAATAACAAACTATAATATGGTTACGGATACGAAAGGAGATGTTTACAAAGGAAAGTATGAACTCGTCACGTTTGTCTTTGATTCTTGTTCAAAGTCGTCAAAATAATGAAAAAAGATTTACATATGAAACAGCCCTTATGGTTAGATGAGATGCTAGGACAAACTGAAGTGAGGGTAATTGAGTCACATGCCATCATCATTATATCTGAAATTGCCATTGAAGAACTTGGCAAGATGTTTTTTTTTATTTTTTGCATTGAGATGATCTTGCATGATGTCTGCCTCATATGTGTGAAAAAGAAGTCGACCAGACACAAAAATAAACAGACCTTGAGTTCAAAGATACTATGTTATTATATGTTATAAGCTTATAATTTATTTTAGTACATGTGATCCGTCTGCATAAAATGTTAGTCGCAAAATTCAATAGACTTGATTTTATCACAACACTTATCAATAAGCAACAGTATCCCTAAGACAGGTGGACTGCAATATTTTATTTGTTATGGAGTTCAGTCTCGTAAAAACAAAAGCAAATTTCAATCTTATCATGGTTAAACTTTGAAAGCCCAATGTTTTTGTATGTGGATTATTAAAAAAGAAAAAAAGTTTCATGTTGTCTATTATTTCTTCAATGTTGATCGTTATTAATTTGTAATTGTCCCTTTGGATATTGCCGTCTGAAATTTGATTTGTTAAAATACTTTGCAGCTAATCTCTTGTTATTAAACGAAGAATATTAAACTAAAAATATATATAATGTTATCTTATTTCAGTACCTACATCAAGTTCTGTAAGCACTTATGCAGTTGTACCAATGTCCACAACCGCTACCACCATCATTACATCAAATTTAGAAACTTCTAATACTGGTCAAACCGAAATAAAGAAAGCATCCAAGCAGACAACTGTACAGCAAACGCATTTTTCAACAACTTCGACCCATACCGAGATAAACACGCCATCTACATCCTATTCAACGCCAAGTAAGCACGTGACGAAGAAGAAACCTACAACAGATAAAAAGAAAACTACTTTGAATAAACACGATAGTAAAACCACAGACCAGAGTACTACACCATATATAATACAAGTGACAAATAAGAGATTGACCACCAAAAAGAATAAAGCGACAAAATCTGACGCTAACAACTCTGAATACATAAGTAAGGGGGCACAGGCAGGTATCGGTATAACTGTAGCTTTGTTAGGTGTAGGACTTGTGGTGGCTATACTTTTTATAATGAAGAAGAAAATTAGCACGATAGGTCAAGGAGATAAATTTAATAAGAATGAAATTCAAATGGAAAGCAAATATACAAAGACAGAAACTAACATAAATGGCGACACAAAATACGTTATAGAAAATAGCGTTATTCATACAGACAATCAAACTCCATGGACATCAACTGATCCATTATGTAAGCAGTGAGTAAAAAGATCAAATACAGTGTCTTGAAATCCGTCCATTTTTTAGGCAACAACGTAAGCATAATAAGCAGACAGTGTATAATACATTCAAAGATGACGTGTTATAGTATTTGATACGTAATGTTTATATAAATGGTAAACGAAATGCTATTGCAATTTTCCATTTCGCAAAAATCGCCAGTTAATTAGAATATTAAAATCCAAAACACCACGAAACTAATAAAATAGCCTGACTTTTGCTGATTGTATTCTACTAAACTGACCAGACAGAGTTGAGAAAGCATAAACATTTTGAGATTTAGTTCTAATACAAATGAGACTTTAATCCACAAAAAATCGAAAAACACAATTTACTTTACATGGATTGGTTGATTAACAAATACAATCTTTATTGTAAGGTAAACAATAAACCGAGCTCTGAAACCGAATGTGATAAATGTTTAACAAGACCATTAACGACCCAACAGTAAGCACAACCCATTTATGCATTTGATAGCTTCGGATTTATTAATCTGATCTAAAACTTATTTTTAACATATTGCGTTGAACCCCAGCAACAACTGTCTGGTCAGTGGTTGTCGAAGTCTTCGTGTTTCAGTCTTTTAAGTAAGTCGATTCATCAGAAGATCGTCTATCAATTGTTGAATTAATCATATCTACTGCTGGTTTAAACAAAAGGGATGCACTTGTGATAAGTTGTTATACAATTGACGTGTATCCTTCATCTGATTTTTATAGAATATTATTTTGTAATTGAGACTAAAGATGAGTACAAAGCACTTTTAGCAAAAATCGAAAAAAACTGACCTCAATTACAAGAGAGGCGAAAGATACCCAAGGATATTGAATAAGTCAAGAGCAAAAAAACGAAAAATGATCATACGACAAACAACCATACACGAAACACAACATAGAAAACAACAGACTGAGCAACACGAACCCCATCAAAAACCGGAAAGATATCTGGTGCTCCGGAAGGGTTTGCAGATAAAGCTCTACATGACAACAACGCTTGCAAAACCTTTATACTATTCCTCTGATCATTTGTGTTCATTCAAATGTTTAAATCAGAGTTAACATCTTTAATGAGTTTGATTGATACCCAGATATCTGTAGTAAATATCTAACATATGTATTTAATTTATAACCAGTGATAAAGTGATTTATAGTGATAAAATGTCAGCATTTTGTATTTTGTAACAAAGTGGTACATAAAAGTTATTTTAGTCATGATGTACATATATTTATTGATAAACTGCTTTGTTGATTTATGAGTTCTAACATTTGAAGTTAGTTCATAGCACATTTTGTTTTGTTTTGTATTTTTATTGCTGTAACTCCTATATTTGTGTATTGTCTTTAATGCCATCCTCTATTTTGTTAAGATTTCGTAATTTAAAAATATGTAAATTCGGAAGATTTCAACAAAAGTGTTTTGCCTGTTCTGGTTGGGATAAATTTAGTCAAATAGTGAATGTTGTTTATTTGCATATACCTGAATAGGTAACTGCAAAACAACAAATCAAACATAATAAGCACCAACAAATTTTATAATTAAAGAGAGACAAATGATGTCTATACGATTAACGGGACGTTAACTTCTTAGTCTCTTTTTAACTAGTTAAAGAGCTTAAAAATAATACACTGAAAATGATGAAATTTAAAAATAATACTTTTTTCGAAACGGACCTGGTAAGAAATTAGATCTCTAAACGTTTCATTAGCTCTTTCAATAGTCTTCTGATTTTTGTTTTATTACAGAAACAAAGGTTCATGAACTTTTCATGACCATATACGATTTTGGTGAGTTGTATACCCGTTTTGATCTCTTAGTTGTTTATAAAAAGTATGCTTTTAATGTTAAAGCTCCGACTTTTCTTCGCGAAGTTACATCTCAAAACCGTTAGGAACGTATCATAGTATATGTTCATATAAAATATGTTTTGATCGAAATAAGAAAAAACATTTTTGTACTAAGTCAGGAAAATGGCCATTGTTATATTATAGTTCGTTTCTGTGTGTGTTACATTTTAATGTTGTGTTTTTGTTGTGTCGTTGTTCTCCTCTTATATTTGATGCGTTTCCCTCAGTTTTAGTTTGTAACCCGGATTTGTTTTTATCTCTATCAATTTATGAGTTTCGAACAGCGGTATACTACTGTTGCCTTTATTTAAGCATTTAAAAAATATTACTAGATATACAGTTGTGAGTTTTTTCTTTACTTGGTTTTTAATTGGAGAATACTTGAATATACTGCATTATTTCATAAATCATCGTTGTTTTCGCTGAAATAAAGATGATTATACGTGTTATATTTGAAGACCTGTCAATTCATTATTTTTGCTTTGTTACTAATAAAGTATTTCGTTCAATATTGTGTCTTGATTATATTTAAACATTTATTGACATACATTAATGTACAGCTATAAAATACACTTTCAAGATGATATCATAACTATGCTATTCTAATTTTTTATTGGATGATAAGACAATCTAAAAGATCTTATTGTGTGAAGGGACATTCTGTCCCCTTAAGATACCAGATTCCATAGTTACCAAAACTGCAATATTCGAAGGCGTTTCCCATGCCTATATTAAAAGGTTTTAAACATCTAGTTCAGCAGTTTTATCTAGCATTATCACTAATTATTAGTGTCATAATGAAACTTCGTCAAATTTGGTTTAAGCAAAAAGGCAAATTTCGGAGATATTTTTCTTCTAAATTAACATAGAGTACATGCATCACACAAACTATTGGTTGGCCAGTCGGCAGATGAACACCCAAACAAGTCCTATATAAATGAATTTTTTGGACGAGATAGTGTTCAATATTTTTCTCAACATAGATATAAGAAGATGTGGTATGAGTGCCAATGAGACAACTCTCCATCGAAGTCAAAATTTATAAAAGTAAACCATTATAGGTCACAGTACGGTCTTCAACACGGAGCCTTGGCTCACACCGAACAGTAAGCTATAAAGGGCCCCAAAAAATTACTAGTGTAAAACCATTCAAACGGGAAAACCAACGGTCTACTGTATGTGTCCACACGCCATTATACCACATTCTCCGATCATAAATAAATATACCTACCCTTAGTTGTTACCTTTATCACTACGAATACAGATCTAAGCTGAAGATAAATGACACAATTTGACGATGAAGTTTAAGTGACGTCATAATGAAGATTGTTTTTTTTGGTTTCATAGCAAAAATAATAAATTTCAAGGACATTTTTATATAACATAGAGCACATAATTTGATCAACTTTTTGTTTTGTCAACAAATAGACAAGAACACAAAATCTTCCGTAAATGCTTTTTTTTGGAGTGTGTGCCTTATATTTTTGTCAACAAGTATTTGTCAAAACGTTAAAAAGGGGATCTGAGTAAAAAAAGGAAAGACCGTGGGAAGCGGTATTTGAAAAATTATCTCTGTAACATCCCTTCTACCTTTACAGGTGGTCAAGAATGTTATGTTTGGCCTATTGGTGACTGACACGTAACTAACCATATATTTATATGATGCACCGTGATGTGTCTAAATTTTGTGATAAAGTGACCGTCATGTGCTCATTATTTCACGCTTCGTTACCTTTGATTTCTTGTCCGTCGAGATTCACTTTGATAGAGTTGAATTTCAATTCAAAGTGATAAGTTACAATGATATACATATATATATTTTGCTAGATGTATGATCTATGGCGTTTATATGTTTAAAGCATATCAACGTTAGACCTGCAGCGGACTATATAACAAAATAGAAGAAGATATTAAGGGTTTGATAAAAATTAGTCAAGGAATAACAGACAACAACATGCCAAAAATAAAAACGACGTAAAGACATCACACCAGAGATTCCTAGACAAAAAAAAAGTATTCAGTAACACCAAACCCATCTATCACTTGGGATGAGAACATGTGCTTTGCAGGTATGTCACTCATGTTGAATCCCGTTGAAAAGGTAACACACTTAATATAAGATTTGTAAAAATCTTTTTATATAACCCTACGGCATGATAAAATGCATTAACCATTGATACATGTAAAATCTGAAACCATAGAACTTGACTGAATCTAGAATTTAAGAACGAAGCATTGTTTTTTTGGATAAAGGATAGACACGAACGTTATCGATAAATACAATAGATACTGTTTTAAACCTATCACAAAATACATCACTAAAACCTGACCAAAAAGGAACACGAAGACCACAAGAGTAGGCAGTTATATACCACGTACTCATGATATACTACATTCGTGGCTTTCATTTGTTAGCGTGCATAATGATTGTAAAACTAGAAAAGTGCTTCGAACACACCAAATTTGTATCCATGACATCGATTAAAATGTTTGACCCGGTTTGTTAGCGTTAAAGGTTATAATCTTCGTGAAATAATGAGGCGCTTAATAAATACTAACTGTTATTTCTTTTGCAAATTATGGCAACAGTAGTTTAATAATGTTCAAATCTCTTAAATCGATTAAGAAGACAAATCAAAACTGAGGGAATCACATAAACTCAACAAATTTTTTTTTAAAAGAACAGAGTTCCAATGTCCCCCGCGTTGCACATAGTTTATATATCCAAGGAGCATAACTCTTTTTAAAAAAGTTGACCGTCCACCATTATAGAACTTGTCCGAGATATTGCTGATATTAACCTATAGTATAAGTTTTATAAAAATCTAGCAAGAATTGTACCTGTGAGAGCGCTAATGAGGCCATTTTCCATAAATTTAATATTTCCAAGGAGCATAACTCTTTTAAAAAAGTCGATCGTCCACCATTAGTGAACTTGTCCGAGATATTGCTGATATTAACCTATAGTATAAGTTCTATAAAAATCTGGCGAGAATTGTACCAGTGAGAGCGCTAATGAGGCCATTTTCCATAAATTTAATATTTCCAAGGGGCATAAATAAAGGCAACAGTAGTATACCGCTGTTCGAAACTCATATATCGATAGAGATAAAAACAAATCCGGGTAACAAACTAAAACTGAGGGAAACGCATCAAATATAAGAGGAGAACAACGACACAACAAAAACACAACATTAAAATGTAACACACACAGAAACGAACTATAATATAACAATGGCCATTTTCCTGACTTGGTACAGGACATTTTAAGAAACAAATGGTGGGTTGAACCTGGTTTTGTGGCATGCCAAACCTCCCGCTTTTATGGCAACGTCAAACACAACACCAAAACGACAACATCACATGACAGGACCACAATACAAATAAATGGAAGAACATATAGGACAAAGAAACACACGAATAATAGCTAACAAAAGGTACTAGGCTTAAAATTCAATACGCCAGACGTGCGTCTCGTCCACACAAGACCAACCAGTGACGCTCAGGTGAAAAAAGTTTGAAAGCCAAAACAAGTACAAAGCTGAAGAGCACCGAGGACCAAAACTTCCAAAAAGTTGCGCCTAACACGGCCAGCATATCTCTTTTGAAAAAAGTTGATCGGCCATCATTATAAAACTTGTCCGAGATATTGCTGATATTAACCTAAGGTATAAGTTATAAAAATCTGGCAAGAATTGTACCCGTGAGAGCGCTAACGAGGCCATTTTCCATAAATTTAATATTTCCAAGGACATAACTCTTTTAAAAAAAGTCGATCGGTCACCATTATAGAACTTGTCCGAGATATTGCTGATATTAACCTATAGTATAAGTTTTATAAAAATTTGCGAAGAATTGTACCTGTGAGAGTGCAAACAATACCGGACGGACGGATGGACGCCCGGTATTTCCATGTCCCCTGCAACGCGTTACGCGGTGGACAAAAAGCCAGACCGGGTGCTTCGACTGGCTAAGCGTCTCCTGCTTTGCATGTGAATCCGACATGTGAATCCACATCTAGTCAAAATGTCACTATCGGTAAAATGACACAATCGGTAATATTGGAGATTAGACTGACCTGGTATTTTAAAATATAAGTCTGCGAAAACATGTCACTAATGAGCTGAGATACATGAATCGTATCGGTCAACCAATTCGTGAAGGTGACCGTAAAACTTGTGTAGTGTTCATTTCAGTGTTTCATCCTCATACCTCTGTTGCATCCGGGTTTTTTTTAAGGAAAACAATCCTGCTAATAAAATATGTATAGTGAAATCATGCACTAGCGTAACGTATCAATTGGGATACGTAAATGCAATACAATGGGACAGCGTATGACATTTTACATTGAAGCTTAAACAACAAAGCTTAATGTCTATTTCGTATTGTTTCGCAATGTGTTTGTTTTGCTAAATTGATATAATTGACGTTAATCAAGAATTTCCTCATTTTACATTTAGCATTGGTTAATGATTTGTAATAATGTACAGTTTATAATCGAGGGACAGGTTGATTGAAGAGCAGTTGTACAAATAATTTTAAATATTATCTCTCAATAAATGTTATCAACATCATTAATGATTAAACTCCGTTGTACTAGTAGCCTTTGTGTATCTGTCCGTATTGAGAGCAATGGACAGGATAATTTTAGTTAACTTCGGATTTGTTTTTATTGTTACAGGTGAAGCTTCATTTTGTACTTTTATCCCAAAATTGTTTTAAAGATCATATGAACTATGCAACAAAGAGAAATTTCAATACAAATGCTTTATAGATCATTGATACAAATAGAAATCATTTATCATTTAATTGAATTAAAATGCAAATTATGGTCAATAAATCATTTTTCTATTATTAAGGAAGGATGAGTACACCAGCTTTAATTATAGCTTTTTATATTTGTTTGGCGAACAAAAAAATCCGTTTAGTTTATTTAGTTTAGTAATTATATATTATATATCATATTCATATATCATATATTATAACACTGTTGGTATTTAATCAGCTATTTTACAAGAATATTGTACTTAAAACTTCATCAATTAACTATGATTTCTTCATTAGAACTTAAGCTATTGTATTCTTTTCGTAACGGGAAGAATCCAAACAAAAAGGGCGGAAGATACCAAGGGGACATTCAAACTAATAAGTCTAAGAGAAACTCCTTGTAAACAACGACGAAAAGACAAACAAATCCACAGAACACTACATAGAAAAACTAAAGACTGAATAGCACCAAACCCACCGTGTTTACTATGTGAACAACTTGTTATACAGAGAACATTCATATTTAAATTTTGATGTAAACGTTATTACAAAAAAAAAACATAAGAACTTTTAACAAATGAAATTATGTTTTTCAGTATGATTTATAAATTGGGCTATTGAAATGAAACGCAATTACGTATCATTTAAATCATTTAATATTTATACAATAAAAGAGAAGAGAATGAACTCAATATTTTGCAAATGATAATTTGAACCAAAATAAAATCACTGAATTATTGTTGAACAAAGAGCGAGAGGAAAACTACTTAGATTATTATTTATATCTTTTTTTAAAAGATAATTCATTTTCCATTAGTAAGTCACATGAACGTATCAAAGTATTATCAATTAATGGTGTCCTACAATATTTATCTACATTGATCAATTTAATTTATTATTAAGAGATTTAACATTTATCTGTGTAAATAGTAATGAAAGATAATTATTGATTCATGAAGACGGACTTGCACTTTGATTGACTTATAACCTAAGGAAGGACATTAAATGACAAAATAAGTCTATATATATATATTGTCAGTGCCCAGGTTCGGTGTCTACTTAAAAGGACAGTATCTCAGTGTACTTTGAGTGGGAAAATGGACATTGGTATAGCTGATACCCATCCCGTACTCAAACAGATAAAGACTTTTCTCATGTAAGGATAATTATCCAAATATTACATTGACAGCTCTACTAATCCCAATCTAACTGTGCGAAAAGGTCGTTAATGTGAGCTGCATTTTTTTTCGGATGAACGATAAATTTCATGTCCTCATACCACACTTTATTATCGCAAGGCATAACACGACTGATGTCGTTACAAATTGTACAGAACAATACATGCTCATCTTTCGAAGCGCATGGCCAAGAATATCACTTTGGAAGGAATTACGTAACTTTCCCTCTGAGTTTGGATTATGGGGTTATGGATTGCTTTATGGGTTTCTAATTTCGGTTTGATTCAATACTAATGTAACCCTTTGGTATCTTTCGCCTCTCTTTTATCATAGTAATTTATCAAATATGATTCCCTCGTAGTTTAAATTGTCAAAAAAATTCTTTAATTTGAAATGCCTTAGCTTACTTATTTTAAGTATTTGTCTGTTTATAGTGTTTCCAGAGACAACTAAAGCAATAATAGATTGTAATTTTGATAATGGTTTGGGCGATTGGCGTAATAAGGCAAGCAGTTGCTTCAATTGGACGATTGGTAACGGTAAAACAGTAGATAAAACTTCTGGTCCGTTAGCAGATCATACCACTGGGTGTAGGTATATTTTCATTGCTGATTTTTTTTTATTATTTACATACTGATAAATAAATTATTATCTTATTTGACACACATATTAATGCAATTTACTCTTATTTACATACGTAACAAGATAACTTTCACCTTGTTAAAGGTGCGTATGAATAGGTGCATGTGTTTGTGTCATTTATCATAGGATGTGGAGCACCGGAAATAAAACAAATAGCTCCGCTTTGTCAAATAAAACTTATATTTTACGTCGGTATAAAATAAATAAAAATCATTAAGAAAAAAACACCAATTCATGCATTTGAATTTCTTGAAAATATTTTCTATGCTGAAAAAATCCAACAAATAAACCATGTATTCAATTTGATAAAAAGAGGAAATACAATTACAATGCCATTTACATATCAAAATTATAATAAGTATCATTGATATTGTATTTGGCAAACCCTTTCGGGATTTTTTACCGTCAATGTTCTTCAACGTCGTACTTTATTTGGACGTTTATTTTTTTTTTTATTCAAGCATCACTGATGAGTCTTTTGTAGACGCAACGCTCGACTGGCGAACAAAATTAGAACCTGGTATCTTTAATTAGTTTCTTTTTAAAACTTTGTAGCGTCCAACGGTTCTTATGCTTTGATATATGGTCGCCGTTCACGTAACTCCTCTTGTTCAGCAGTGATACACAGTTCAAACTTACAAGTTACTGGAAACAACATCCTTTCATTTTGGTATCATATGAATGGAAATGGGATCGGAAGTTTGACTGTTTACTTAGTCAGCAAAGGCACTCGCCAGAGATTATGGCAGAAAACTGGACGCCAGAGTCCAGACTGGTTACTTGCAACCATACCTATAAGAAATGGGTCTTATCAGGTATGATACAACTAATACTATAATGAAGCACGCTAAGTGATAAGATATACTTATATGAGTGACCCAGAAAGATTCAGAACATTATAAAATTAATCAACAATGATAAATAATGAATTATTTCACTTTTGGATCAACAAAATTTGACTGACAGGGTCGAATTGTAGTGATTGATTTTTTCCTGTGAAAATATGATTTGGATGAGGAGAATTTTGAACGTGGATCAAAATGCTATCATAACATGGTACTACATGTATTAAAACCAATGGATTTGTATTTTGATATTTCTCGATAACTCTGTCGGTTACCTTGGATCTCTAGTAGCGCACATTTGGAGTGGAGATGGAAGTTAGTTGAAACCAGATTTTAAACGTTTGCGGATGATATGCAATTCTTAAAAAAGAACAAACAATTATACAAATTGGTTCGAAAAACAAATCGTATATAAATTTTGACGAGAAACGCCAAAATAAATATGGGGACAATGCATTGATGGTGTGAGTTTAAAGGCCTTTGTGTTGCTGAGTATTTAGTTTTTACGCTGTAGAGTTTTACTGAAAGTTGATAGTCTTTTCGTAGTATTTCATTTGCCATGATTTTAGCGGTCTCTCTTCGCCTATAAGTTTGTGATTTTCCCTTTTGATATCTTCCGCCATTTTTCAAAGCAATAACGTCACTCATAAACATAAGATAGGCGCTAAAAATAGAATTGTACAGAATTCGCTATAAACAAATGTGTTTGCATACAGTAAACAAGCTGTTTTATACTATTGTTGAATTATTTATTTCTACATCAAAGGGTTTAATCTATTGCATTAAACAAATTAAGTTTTAACAATTTCTGTATTTAAAGAAACATTTGAATCTTGAACAGGAGTAGGGTAATCTTTTGTCTCATACCTTTCCCCTAAACCCCCTAAATAATTACTACAGATTTAATAGTATTAGTATTTGCAGATAAAATTATCATCCGATATTGCTATCAACAATATGTTGGCACGATTAAACACGTTGACCTGGTCAGTGTGAAAAAAAGGTAAACTGTCTTTATCAAACACTTAAAAGTGCCGATAATAATTCTTGTTTGACGTTTACGCCTTTGGTATGTCAAATTATCAAATATACTGGTTTCGGTCTTGCTTTCAAAAATATGTTTATAAAATTTACAATGGACATTGAGATTTCAAGTGGAAAATAAGTAACTCAAGTAAAATGATTTTTTTAGCAAAGTCTTCATATATTGTCATATAATGAATTTTGATGACCAAATTTGATTTGCTGATAATATCAATGTGGACTATTATTTTTAATGGAATTTTAACATGGGTCTGCTCAAAAAGATGTTGGTCAGACATATATTACTAACTTTTGTATTGGATAAAGTATAGTTTAAAATAACTTAAATTATTTTAAACAAGAGCCATGCTTAATTGTTGTTAATTCAATTTACGAAATAGGAGAATGATGTGTTCGGGTAATATAAATGAGATCCAATAACGTTATTTAAGAATTTGAAGGCCTTCTTGTCGCTGCAAAATATATGATTTAAAAATTACTGTATGATATAGGATTCACAGTACATGTAGTGTAGTAGTGTCTAGAAAATTAATTGCGGTGAAATTAATAAAAAAAAAATCAATTATATATATACAGTTAAATGTAAACAGTAATATCCAGATTCGTTGACTTTATTATGCCCAGTATAATCTAAGAATTATAAATTTATGAATTACCACATGATCGTGTTTTACTCTTGCAATTTAATCTGCAACATACTAAAATAATCATATCGACACTGTTAGAATCAAAAGTCTTTAATTTTTAGTGTCGATATCCTGGCCCATTTGTAACTTGTCAATAAATGTACGACATTGATTTTATTAAGACGACACATATTTTTACAACAACTTTCGTCAGATACGCACGTCCGATACCGCTCATTTGATATTTTGTCCGTTTGTATGGATTTCCCCTTTTCGAATTTGCCATGGAGTTTGGCATGTTTATTATACTTTTGAAAGGCAAAAAAACACAAGCGTTCGGAAGTTTCAAAATCTGAAGGGTCTAAACGGATAATACAAAATTGCCCAGAGTCAGTGATGGTGGAATAAGTAACAACCTTATTTGCAGTACAATTTTACAGTTTTCAACTTCCTGTTAGTGCGTATCGTTAGTTTCTTTTGAATACTTTTATTGATAGACAAGATTGAATCACTTTGAATTAATATGTCGTTTAAAGTTTTGAAAATGCGATGTCGTCAGTTTTTGTGTGTTACCGTGATTTGTCTTATAGATTCATGAAACAAAAACAAATCTACGGAAAATTTACTTGTAACAAGACAAAATGTCCCGATTGTTTCACAGGTATGAATAGGGGAGTGCAATAGTAATTTTACGTAGACCATATGTTATGTATAGGATAAATTGCAGTTCAAAAAGGCGGATAAACTTTCCTGAAAATATGAGCGAACACTGTATAGCGTCCGATGCCATGACACTTTGGGAAAATAACTCTACATATGGTAAAATTTATGAATTACCACATGATCGTGTTTTACTCTTCATTCAATTTAATCTGCAACATACTAAAACTAGTGTACTTAATTAGTTTGAAACGTTTATCATTACTCTACAATCCCCACTTCAGACAGAAGCAACGAATGTCCATCTAGTACCCGTCTTCTATATCAAGAAAGAAATTGAAAAATAAGGGTAAGATCAAGATATATTGTTGATTTTAAATACATAATGTGCTGACAGAGTACGCATTTGAGTTTCTACTAGTACATGTATACTTCTTGCATAGAAAGACCACTACTATTATATAGTAATCAACATATTGGCTTATCTCTAGATAGAACTCGAGGCAACAGCAAAATACCATTATGGGAGCGATCTGGCAGTGGACGATATAACCTTGAGGAAAGGTAAAAAAAAAAAAAATGAGAAAACACAAACATAAAAAAAATGAATAAATAGATTTCGACTAAGTCTGATGGAGACGAAAGGGATAATTAGAATACATACGACGAACAAAAACAACAAAATCATGGGAAAAAAATAAACGATAACTAAACAGACACATTTAGAAACACTACATCAAAATCTAATATTGAGCAACACGAGCCCCTCAAAAACCAGTGGTTGATCTAAGGTGCTCCGGAAGGGTAAGTAGATCCTGTCCCAAATGTTGCACTCGTCTTGCTAATTTTCAATCATATTGTGGTTTATGGGAAATGTTTTCTTCTTTACTTTACCAATCCACACAAACACCATAACTAGTAACTTGTATATCTTTTTTATTAAAATCATGAACGAATAAAAGGAGATGTTTACTTTTGAACTGGCATTTAAAGTATTTTTCTTCAGCACTTCCATCTTTACAACGGACAACATCCCCCTCATCACCGACAACCGTTAAAATAGCAGCACTACCAATTAATTGCAATTTCGAAGGTGGATTGTGTGGATTTAAAACTGATAATAGTAATTTTTCCTCGGCATCATGGATACGAAAAAGTGGAACAGAATCACTTGGGAATTTTACGTTTTTACGTGGTGATAATACAACAGGCTCTGGTAACTACATCTATTTCATCTTTCATTTACCGAATATTCCATTTTTTTATGAACTTGTTTCGTACGATACTGTGTTATCACACTCTAGAAAAAAAAATGATTATCTTTTGAAAAAATGAATTTACACTGAACAAAACATATTAGTGCCTCATGCAACAGTAAACAAAATACATTTATAAAAGATTGTCCGTTTATATAAATTTAGAAATTCTTAAGACATTACGGTTTCAACTCCCTCAAAATTGACCTTAGATGGATTTGGCTATTATTTTTAGGTCCTTTCTTGTCATACACCTTTTCGACTGTTTTGGTTCTTATAAATCTCTGGCTTTCAAATATTGGCTTGGATCGTTCATGATGAAGGTAAATCCAGAAAAGCGCTTCGGACGGATGAAAAATATTGAGTTTTTATTTTTACTTATTAGTACTTTTAGAGCCTTGTATTGAATTTATAAAGTCAACATATTTATTTCGTTTGGTAGATGGATTTTAGATAGAAAATTGGCATTCCTCTGGGAATGAAACGTGCTTCTGTTCTAGATGATCTGTTCCTCTTGTGTTTTATTGTTTGTATCTTTTTTCATCAAACCGGTTGCAACTTTCAAAAAGGTGCTTAGGAATTTTAAATTACTATCAATATCTACATCAACCCTTTCAAATACTCATCGCACAAATTTTTAGGCACTCGAAACTTTGTCGTTTAATTAAAAGTTGTCGAATCTAGTTTCAGTGATATTTTGTGCACTAAAGATGTAAGGTAAATTGTTATTAACATATTTACATCTGAAATACATTTATACATCATTGTGATTAAATACAACTGTTCGTGTCTAATTACATCAGTTCATTTAATGTTATGCTAAAAATTCATTGAAATCTATCTGAATTATAAAAAGCATAATATATCTACAATATGACTTTATTGTAAATACTGAGAAACGAATTATGAGTTAGGAGAAATCTGGTTATCAAACACAACGAAAAAAAATCAGGTACAATGATTGTATATAGATACACGGGTAATCTTTGGTATCAGGTACAACGATTGTTTATAAATACTCAGGATATCTTTGGTATTTTACGTGTATTTTACCGCTATTCACGTAAAACTGGTACTTGTATCATATGTAAAAGGTAAAGCAGTCAACTTTGAAAAAAACCCGTTCAATAATTTATCAAAACATCTTTTGGATCAAGAATGACGTACCACGTTAGCTGCGGAAATGTAGCTCTTTGTTCCTGTGATGATTTTCGAGTTGTGCAGACTATATATATTGTGCAGACTATATACTGAAGAATAGCAATAAAAGCGATGTTCCTTTGCTTTTTTTTTGCTGTACATGTACTGATTTTGTGTCATGGATGGATACCCCATATCTTTTGTTTTTTCTATTATATAGGTAGATCCGTACAATTCCAACTATATCCCCAACGACCATGTGTAGTTAAGCCTTTGCAGCTATTAGCACCTTTACATCTATGAGATTTCAAAACCGATTGTTAATATTTAAAAAATAAATATTTATTATTTCAATTTAAAATCATTGTCATAAGCTTCAATATGCAGGAATGGAAAGAAATAGAGCAGTGTTGTAATTTTAAGGGTTTTCTACATACCCACCTGTTGGAAAATTATGCTCTCATTTCCATTTACTTTTCCATCCCTTTACAGTTTGGACAATAAACATTTTCGAATGCTCAATCCGCACTTTAGATATACTGAAAATCCAAGATCCGCCTCTGTTAATGTTGAAAACCAAGTCATGATAAAATTGGCGAGATTTACGACAAAGAATCTTTTAATTGCACCAAAATGTTATAAATTATTTGTTTTCATACATACTGTTACGGCTTGTTCGAAAAATAATTGTTTTATTGATATTTATTCAAAAGACCATGAATTATGCATGTTTAATTCTAGTATTTATGTCTAAATGGCAGCATCTAAAAATACGGCTTATACATTTCACCGGCCGATTTTAAACCTTACTGAATCTTCCTCTTTTGTGTTTAAATAATATGACTTCATTGTTATTTTTGTATGTTTACAACAAATTGTATTAATTCTCTATCACAATGTTGTAGGTTCATATCTGTCACTGACTATTGCTAACAAGAGAGCTTTGATAGCGGACAGAGCTAGTTTATATATACCGGCAATACGTAGTCAGAAAATGACTTGTTTAACTTTTGCCTATAGTCTTCCAAGCAACACCAGTGGTGTTATACAGATATTTCAGACAGGCACTAATACTGGTACTGCTACTCTTATGAAACAACTGTCGGGCTACCATGGACCTCACTGGAAGTCAACATTTGTTCAATTTTTACCGTCATTTGAACCAATGAAGGTACGTAAAAACATAAGCATATATACACATCTGAATTACTATTATTATTATTACTTTTATTATTATGATGATGATGATGATGATGATGATGATGATGATGATTTCTTTGCAACTATTGATTACTTTATCTTCTAACCGCTGCGATCACCGAACATAACTATAGGCTAAAAGGCAGGTTTGGTATTTTAACATCTATTCTTTCTCCTTATAGTTGTTTTTCGTATCGAAATGGAAGAACATGTATTATTGTACCATATATGAATTGTTATATTCTGTCATCAAAACAAAAAGTTTCTTGAGTCCGAAGCACTTTTCTGAATTTATCTTTATGGATATATAAAAGGTGTGGAGCTTTATGACCCAAACGGACTCAAATGTATTCATTGCATTATTTGTATTATAGGTTGTCATAGAAGGCTATTATTCAGGAGAACCAGGTTGCGTGGTCACTATAGACGATATTCATTTAGTTGAGGGAATATGTAAGTACAATATTTAATTTAAGAAACTAAGTATATAAGTTTTTCGACCATAACGACGTTAAGAAAAAGTAGCAAAAAAGTGTTTGTGAAGAGCTTTTAGTATAGATATGTTTTTCCCTACTTTTTTAAGATCGTGCATATTTTGTGATGACAATGTACAAACGCACAATGTGCATATGTATGTTGTTTTTTTTTAAATCTTCCATGATCAATTTGTCTTATATCAACGAATTAAGTTTCGTAGTTTTAAACACAATAAGGTGTCTCTTTGTATGTATGTTTTTTTTCTCTCTTTTTTTTACCATAAGATATCTTTTGGAGAAGTCGGACCGGAGCATGATTGTGTGCAGTGCCAAAATATAATAACCATAAAAAATGAAAACAACACGTTATAAATTTCATGCGTCGAAGCGCCTTTCTGGATTTACCTTCATCAGGAACGCTCAAAGCCGAATATTTGAAAGCCAAGGATGAATAAGAACCGAAACAGTTGAAGAGCTATATGACAAAAAGGGACCTAAAAATAGCCAAATCCATCTAAGGTCAACTATGCCCGAGTGTCAGAAATTTGAAAGCAATACATATATTAGATACACCTTGAGGGCGTTAGCCCGAACGGATGTATCTAATTTACACCAAGATATTATTATCAATGAGAATGATAGTTTACAATAATTTAGAAAGGGGATCTTTCGGTGATTTGATCATATGTAATTGAAAAGCATGTTAAATGCAGGTTATCCATTTTGTTTTATCGACATATTGATATAAAATAAGTTTTAGTACCGATAAAGACAATATTCAAAAATCTTACTTCAATGTTTAATTGATAACCATTAAGAACAAATCAATTCAGAATACCAATACATCTTCATGAAATGTGTCGTCATTGATCTTTAAAGGAGACTGTGTGTTGAATTGTAGCTGCCTTTTTTTCTTGTTGTTTTAAAATCATATACTCAATATCTCAGTTTACTCATATGCATATGTTTTAAATGAAATAGTTTCAAATATTTAAGGACAATACTGAAATAACATACACATGCAAATATATTTACATTTAGGTGACGGATACGCCAAAAGTACAACAAGAGCAGCGACTACTATCACGAGACCGACAACAAAAACTTCATCTGCAATGTTCTTCAACAAAACTTCGTCCTGTCAATCAGAATATTTTGGTTTATTAAGTGCATTATCATGTGACTTTACAAGTGATTTTTGTAATTATACTACGATAGATTCTCCTGTGCATTGGCAAAGGAAGAAAGGAGCAGGGGGCAATAGTTGGTTAGCAAAAATTCCGGAAAGGAAAAATACATTATCAGGTACTTTACTATTAACTAAGGACATAGATACAAAATTTGCTGTTACTAGACTTTTCCCCTAATTTTAATTGAATTTATCTCAGAGGACTTAAAGAAGTCGTCAGAACAAGTATTTCTAACGTCAAATTAATTCTTCTGTTATTCCATATGATTGTAAACAAATTGGATTGCGTGAATGAAATAAAATAAATTATAAAAATAGCAATTTTAAGTCTAAGATGAGATATTAAATATATGTATATCCTTTGAAAATACGGAAACCATCAAAACTAACATGTTGCAGTCATTTCTAGTTTTGAAATTTTGAATATTTTGCCAAAACCACGGTTCATGATTTTTAGGACAAAATTGATCAGACACGGTTTTCGTTGATGAAAGTAAATTTTTGTTTTGTTCTCAACGATGTAAATTATTTCAAAACTGTTGGTTTCGAGTGTATCTGTAGTTTATTTCAAATGCACTTGTCCAGAACGCTAAAATTGGTATTATACGTTAGTTTATTAACTACAAATAGTAAGTTATGTCGATAAGTAGAGGGCATTCTCTTTTCCTGACAAACTTAATCTCAAAATGCTGAATCTAACGACAAGTTCACAATATACCGTGTTTAATTGCACAATGCAAAATGTAATTAAAAGTTACCAGTTTATTCCTTAGATGAATATACAAATCCATTGAAAATGACATGATTAAAATTTTTTTACCATAATAATAACGAAAACATTGCTGATTTTATTACTTTATTTTTCTACTAAAGCCTGCTTCAATTTCAGGTGAGATTAAATGTTTTTAAAGTATCTAAATTTCAATGAGCAATGGCTTTATATTCTAAAATTTCAGAATCAAGAAATTCTAATCAAATCATTTCAAAGGCCAATTGACATATGATGTCGAAGAGCATAAAATAACCGAAAATTCTGAAAAGTTGTGCCTCAAAATAAAGTACGGTATGTCTATTCAATTTGGAGTCATACATTTATATTTCTTTTGTATCGTTTTTTTTAGTCTAGATGCTGGTTTTAACTAGTAATCTTTTAAAATGTTATCTGTATGTCAGTTTAATGTCAGTGGTATGAAATGTCTGATAATGTAAGATGTATCCTTGTAATGATTTTTTATTTAACTTCTTTGATAATTTCTATAGGTTTTTATCTTACTTTGAATGTGTCGACATACTTAGTACGACATGGTGATGGAATACTCAAAACCCCAGAAATAAATATTGCCTCAGTATGTTTAGAATTTTTGTACAGTCTGCCAGGAACATCTTCAGGTATCAAAGTTGAAATAGAAACTTCTTTGGGACATGTTAAGACAATCTGGCAGAAAAGTGGAAGTATTAACTCTGGTAAATGGAGTACAAAAGCATTGGTTATCAACAGCCTTGACAGATATAAGGCAAGTACTAACTGTAAACAATTTTATTTTATAAAATGAGATGGTACTGATATTTTTACAACACATACTGATTTATCTTCCTAATCATAAATAAATCACTTATTTGTCAGGTTATCTGAAAGATGTGTTGTTTATGGTTATTTGTCTATTTTTCTTGTATTTTATGGGAGAAGTCGGGTGTTGGTGTTTTTTCTGGTCTGTTATACTGTTTGTTTTGGTAATTCCTATATACTTATCTTATCATTGTGAGTTCAGTCGATTCCTTATTGATTTAAAACCTTATTGTTTTTGTTCATACGTGATCTTACAATACTTATATTGATGTAGGTATGATAGATTCATTTTCACTAAATATTTTTCCGGTATGGATAATGCACTAAGATCTAGAAAAACATAAAAAGTAGATAAACCCAAGACAATAATAACAACCAAAATTTGTTAAATAAATATCCCTACTTACAACTGTATTATGATTTTTACAAAATAAAACGCTTACCCTACATATATATATCTTTATACAAGGATGTTGTAAAAAGTTTTCTTGTTTTGGTATACAACGTATAAAATGCATTTAACTTTCACCTTTTTTTTTATAGATTTTATTTTCAGCATACAAGAGTTCATCACTGTCTTATGTTGGCATTGACGACATCCACATTTATGGAAAATCAGAAAGTAAGTCGAAAATAATTTAAAAAACAAAACAGAGAACATGTATTTACGAGTGAATTGTTAAGGTCCACATTGTTCCGATATCATTTCTTAAGATATTATTAGTATCATTATTTCGTTTCCATTGTGAGAAATTTAGCGACATATGGAAAAAATGTTACGCATGAGGTATAAGTTAACCACATACTTTCATGCAGCTATCCCGTCATTCCGTACTATTCAGCTTCCCTCAGCTATCACTTCGAACACCGAATTCAACTCTTAACTGCTCTTAGACAGACAAATACAAAATCCTTGCTGAATCTTTAGCATCAGAACATTGCAGGCCTGATATGATTTTACTACTTTTAAAAGAACAGTTTGTCTGAAATTAAAATTGAATGCAAAAATTAAAAAAAGCAATAATACATCAAGAGTCTTTTTACAAGAAAGGTGTGTCCCTCATATTTTAATCTAATAAGTATAGGTTGTTAATCTTTTGACTCAAAAGTATGATCAAAATCTCATTTTTAATTTCTGTTTTGTGTATGCTGTATAATAAAATCTTGAGTTCTGTTACACTGATGAAATGATTTTACACAAATTGAATTGTTCAATTTCATAAATGCATTCTAGATTTAGTTTAATTTAACGAAAGTCCATTGTCAATTGTAACAGCAATGCTTTCGAACAAGGAAAATAAGGGATCATTTGCTTTCCATTTTGTTGAAACTAACAATAAAACAAAGTTCTACAATTTAAAAATTAAAGTATATACTTTTCATTGGCATTATAAAATTCCAATATGCAATGCTATGAAGTACCAACCATATGTTCAATATCTTACATCGGTAAACATTAAAATGCCTATTCGAAAAAGTAGTTATTAAACACTATTCAAATGTTAATCAGAGAAGACTTGACAGTGGGAATCCAAAAACTGCTTATTTGCAAACACTTTTAGTTTTAGAAAGCATGAGCATGTGATAGTTCTAGATTCTATCGTATTAACGAAAAGCGTTTACCAAGCTTATTATTGTCGACGTTTGAAAAGTTAATTTTATCTCTGCTTATGGGTCTTATTCTATTAAATATCAAGGGTGTCACTAGTGTAGAAGTCAGTGATAACATGAAATGTCATTAATGTGGTCATTTTCTGTAAACATATTGTTCATAAAATTTCGAATCACTAAGGTGTTTTACCACAGGCATATATGGCCTTATCTAGATTTGGCACATCGTTTTCTTCATTTTTAATACCCTTTAACTTCACTATTGAGTTGGCCTGTCAACTGTTTTTTATTCGATTGCGACTGTCGAGTCTTATACAATCGGAACGAGCGTTTGGCTTAGTAAATTATAAGCATGGTATCTGTGATTAGTTTCTATTCTTGAATTTCTGAAAGAAAAAGGTTATATGTCGGTGATTTTTTCCGATGTGAATTCTTAATGAAAGAATATTTAAACGTATGCGAAATATAAATTATATATGGCGATAAACAAAATTTCTCTACCACATGTGCATGTGCATTTCCTAAACTAGTGCTCATGTTAGTAGTCGTTGGTCACATGTTTTTCTCCTCCTGGCAGATCTTTGATCTTCTGTGTCTTACTTGTATTCACATATAATATAAATGCAACCATTTACGTTTACATTTGCTTGGTTCAAGTAAACAGTAATATGGCGAAAAATGAAAATAAAAACTAATTGGCTTTGTACCAGCGTTCAGTAACTGGTTGTACTCTCAAATCTGTATTATGTGTCTGTAGTGTATCTGTAAGTTGTATTTTTTGTGCTTTGTGTCAATCTGATGAGTCAAGCCTTTTTTATATATATTTGATAATATGTTCTTATGTTGTGTCATTACACCACTATCCCAGGTAAGGGGAGTGTTGGACGCCCGGCAACATCTTAAATCCCGCCACATTTTAAATGACATTCAGTGATTACCGTGTTGCTGGATTTTATATTTGTTTTTCGTTTATTGTTTAGTACACCAATTAGACCGTTAGTACCTTGTTTGCATTGTTTTATATTTGCAATTCCGGAACCTTTTATTGCTTCTTATACGGTATGGGTTTTGCTTATTGTTGAAACTTCTACGTTATCTGGGTTCACGCATCAGGTTCTGTCGGGACAACTGATTCTATAAAAAAAATTTCTTTAGCTACAGCAACATATACAGGATTTTAGTTCTGTCCACATGTTTCTGATTCAGTGGTTTTTTCACATGTTTATGTTTTTCTTATACGTGTATTATCCTCTAGTATTTGAGTTGTTTACCTAGAACTTGACTTGGTATCGTATCTTCTATCTATAATACACATTGTGCAGGTTACATTTGTTGACGAAACGCGCATCTGGCGTACGAAAATTAAGCCAGATATCTATGATGAGTTTATTTAAAACCATTGGCTCGATGCCACTGCTGTTGGAGATTTCCACCCCAATGCTATCTCCATCCCAGTAATCAGCACGTTTTTGTTGAATTATTATTGATATGGGCATAAACATAAATCAACTGTTTACAAAACTTTGAATTTTTCGCAATACTAAAGATTTTCAACCCTATGAAAAGATTACTTTAGCTGTATTTGGAAAAATTTTCGGAATTTTTGTCGATTGCTACTTTTTTTTTAATGATTCTGATTTTGGGTCCTAAATGCTTTTCTACATCGTAATTAATTTGTTTTTTTTTTAACTTTTTGGATTCAAACTAATGAGTCTTTTGTAGACGAAACGCGCGTCTGGTTTACAAAATTTTAATCCTGGTATATATGATGAGTTTATTCATTATTCAACATTATCTATTTCAGCATTCACATCAAATTCTGCCGGCGCTACTGCATTTGTTACAAACCTTACTACACCTAAAACCAAAATTACAGGTTGGATAAAAACATCAAGATTAAAAACTACTATTACTCATGCAACAAAACCAATTACAGAAAAATCGACCGAACAGATGCTGGTACAAACAACTGTACAGCAGATGCAAATCTCGACAAATTGGAACCTTACCGGAAAATATGCTTCGTCCAACGAACCTCAATTTTCATCAGTGTCAATGCCAAGTAAGAATGTAATACAAGATATTAAAGATAACTTATTTTTTTCTAAACATGACAGTTAAAATGTTTGAAAAGCAAGTAAAAAAAAACCCATAAATTTCCAAGGAGATTAAAGCGACATAATCTGATGCTAACTGTTCAAGCACATAGTTAAAGGAGCACAGACCGTGTCATTCAAATGATATGTCTAGTATGTGTATGACTTGTGTATGTTATTTTATTAATGAAAAGAAATAGCACGAATGGTCATTGGATAAATCAAAAAGAATTGTATTAAATCATGTAACGAATATATGAAGACAGAAATAATTGCAAATGATAGTACAAGGCGACAAAGTTTCAATAAAAATGGCGCTAGTCATACAGAAAGTCAAACTGTAATTAAGTCACCTGCTTGTAACACATGCATGTATATGTTTTAATAGGCAATAACAAGTACAATGATTACTATGAGGCAGAGATTTGGAGCACTAAAGTAATGTTTTTTTTGTGAAAAGTTTTGTGGACTATTGTCTGTCTTATCGTTGTTTTTCTGTTGACAATGGTGGTGTCTGCCATTCTTCGAATTATTATTTTGATTGCCTACTTAATATTTCTTACTTTTTCAATCCGACAAGTTCTTATATTATTCCCAATAAAATCATCTTGAGTACTCAGTCACAGTACATTCTTACTTTCAGTTAGCAGCATGTTTTATAATTAAATGTTATAAACTAACACGAAAATTCAATTAATAAATTGAATTAAGACAGATTTTGGATTTTCAAAGCATTTAAACTTTATCGTATGAGTATGGCATATGTACAATAAAGAAAAAATCCTAAAACAATTAACTTGTAAATCGCAAAATTTAACCTGCTCAAATAGACTGCTTACACATTTCAGACGATGCATAAAACTGTTCATCAAGTAAATTAACACAATAAATGCAAATGAGTAGTCTTATATCTACTAACAGGTAGATTTAATTCAGTTACCAAAAAAAAAGACAAGCCCTTTCTCCTCCCTAATCTAAATGAGCAAATTCAGAATCGTAAAAGACAAACAAAAACCATCTTATCATTATGATTCTTTGAAAGGCTTTATTCATATAGGACCGTAAGGCTCCATTACAGTGACATTGGTTTTCTTTTTGGTCTTCTGCGAGTCAAAATAGTTCTCATTAGTGGTTTTATCATTGTTGGTCCGAACACTGCCGTTTTATGTTCTTTTTTATGTTCGATTCGAATATTCCTATCCGGCCTTCGATATATTTACGTGCATTGCAATTGGATCTTTTAAATTATATAATAATTATTTAATTACAAATGTATAAACATTAATTTTATTTCAGTTACTACATCAAGTTCTGTTAGCACTACTGCATTTGTAACAAAGCCAACTACTCATATAGCCATGATGACATCAAGATTCAAAATTCTCAATACTGATCACACAACAGAACCAGGAACAGAAATATCAACCAAACATAGTGTACAGCAGACTCATATGTCAACAAAGTGGAACTTTACCAATCAATCCTCTGCATCCACTGAACATTCAATTTCACCGTCTAAATCATTCACAATATCAAGCAAAATTGTGACGAAGAAGAAACCCACAGTGGAATTCAAGAAAACTTCTCAATTTAAATTTGATATTAAATATACAAACCAACGAACTACATCGAATATAAAACAAATTACAAAGAATACACTGAGTACCAAAAAGACTGAAGCAACAAAAGCGGACGCCAGCAAATCTAAACACATAAGTAAAGGAGCTCAGGCAGGCATTGGGGTGACTGTATCTGTTGTAGGGGTAGGGCTTGTCTTGATTTTACTTTTCTTAATGAAAAAGAAAGTTAAAACAATAGGTATAATTGATAAAACAAATGAAAAGGACGTCCAAAAAAGTAACAATGACAAACAACCAGTTTTGTTGAAAATGGAAGTACTACCGAAAAGTAGTGTTGGTCATAGTGACAACATGCACTAACGTGCAATGCCTCGACAACCTTGTAAGAGTCAAAGAATAAATACAATAATTGTGAAATCCGTCCAAAAAGTGTTTGGTTATCAACAACGTGGACATGATTGGTAGATAGTTAAATAGTAGCAGTTGTATTCTTTGAGTGTTATGCAACCTAACATGACGTTTTCAATATAGGTATACTGACTAAGGCGTTGTGATATACTGACCGCAAAAATCACAGGATAATTGTGGTCATATATAATGCTTAAAAAAGAAATCTTGATATATGACGTACATTATGTATAGAAGAGAAGTCGAATATTTTTGAGAAATTTCTTTTGAGTATAAATTTAAAACATATTTTAACGCCTAAGGTTTAATAGATGTACAAATATTAACTGTTTAAAAGCGAATAATAAAAAACAATTTAACCATTATATAAGTGTTCCATTTTGATTTGTGATTCTTTTAAATTAATCTAGAGTGTATGTAAAATATAGAGTCAGGATGTATGCTTAAACTGATAATGAGACATTTGTTCATCAGAACTAACCGGACGAACAAGTTTATAGAGAACAATACTAGGCCTAACATTTTTTTTTAAATACCCATTCCGCAATGTCAGCATTACAATTGGCATGGTATCCTAAATTGTTAAACTAGATGACTAATGGCTTAATGTAGGCCAAAAGGATGAATTAGAATGCAAACACACTTGAATGAAAGGAAAATACCTTAGACTCCATGCTTTTTTTGGCAGGTACATAAATTGTAGAATGGGATCACAAGATATTTTTTTAAACAATCAACTCTTCCTTTTAGCTAGTACAGTGATAATAAACGAAACAATAAACTAATAATGTAAAATAAAAATTAGCTAAACTAATTATATTTGTACTCAGAACAACCCAACTTACAGAAATAAATCTACAACCGACCAAAGATTCTCGCCGGTACTGAAATCTAGATTAAACACTTTAAAACGTTCGACTGATAAACAGATCGCAGATAGTGGGGCAAATTTTTTCTCACAAAAGTAGTTTGATCATGTTACATGATGGGTTGTACTATTTCAGATTTCGTGGTTGCTGCTGTCGTTATGGTTCTGGCTCTTTGAATATTTGTTGACTTTTAGTTGTCTCTACTAAATAAATTGAAAAATAGATGTCATAGACATAGCGCTATTAATTAGCTTGCTGTACAGAGTTGGTATGCTTCATAAATTAAGAAATACACTTAATATACTGTTAAAGTTATATTGTAGCCTCATGATTAAATACCTACATTTATCTTTTCGGATATAACCCGACTGACATTAATGTTAGATCAATAACTGTGCGTCCTAGTATATTTGTAGTCAAATATAACTAGCAAGTAGTAAAATGCGAGTTGTAATTTTGGCAATATTAATCTATTGCAGTTTTCGAATGAATTAAAATGAAACATCCTATTCATTTGTGAATTATGGTAATATTTTATGCTGTTTTTATTGACAGTGTTTCTGAAATTTATTTAAAATTTTCTTAAATAATGTAATCGCAATTATCATGATTATAGACTTAATCTCAAAGATTTTTTATACAGTTATCAACACTTATTGATTGAAGTATTCATGACAACAAAGCGATAAAAAATAGTTTAAACATCAATTTGATAAATTATATTTACACATACTTTAGGTAATATTGAATCTTAAATTATGCAGACTATTTTCGTATTTTCTAAATATTTTTAGGGGTTGCTTCAATTTGAACTATGGTAATACTTCAACATTGTTATCATTCTATGAAAATGCGTTAAATTGTATATGTAGTATTGTAAAAATAATTTATTTATACATGATTTTGTCAATTAAAGTGTGTTCGTTTCTAGCTGCTTTTCATGCAGATTAAATTCAGATATATAAATATATCAGAAAAAGCAGTTTCAGTTTGTATTGTTATTGTGGTTTTACGTTTGTTTTCAGTGTCTCTTGTGCTTTTAATTTGTACTATTTTAATTCTCGCTTAGTCACATGTTTATATGCCTATTTCTAAGTCAGAAATTCTCGACAATGCTGTTTACAGGCATGTCTCAATGTCATTTTCCTTAAAGGGGTTTTGTGTTGAGGGTAGATTTTTAATAGTCACCATTTTCTACACTAGGGGGAATAATAGCCTGATAATTGTTTGGACACTATCTATAGTTAAAGTAAAATAACAAAAATACCGAACTCCATGGAAAATTTAAATCGGAAAGTCCCTTATCAAATGGCAAAATCAAAAGCTCAAACACATCAAACGAATGGAAAACAACTGTCATATTCCTGACTTGGTACAGGCATGTCCTTATGTAGAAAATGGTGGATTAAACCTGGTTTTATAGCTAGCTAAACCTCTCACTTGTATGACAGTCGCATAAAATTCCATTATATTGACAACAATGTGTAAACAAAACAAACAGACATGATAAGTAAAAATGTCAAAAATAGGGATACAGTAGTCAACATTGTGTTATAATCTTAATCATTATAAAAACCAACAAATATGTCAACAAAGAAAAACAGAATGGCTTAAAGACAAAGCACTTAAGCAAACATGAAAGACAAGAACACAAAAAAAAAAACACAATGGCGGTATGCATAAGTACTGAATCACGCCAAAGGATATTACCAAAGACTATGGACTAAACAGTAAAGGTTGATAATTTACAAAGACAAATAAAAGAACACTATAACACGTAATTATGATGAAATACAACGTCAGTACCTAGAATCTATACTTCAAGACCATCATGTATTATTTGTGAAGTTGATACGGAATATTTATCAACAAGGTCTTGGTACCTTCCGATGAACAATTTTAGAAAAAGGACGAGACGTTCTTTGACATAACCCTGGTTCATCAACCTAGGCCAGATTTTGAATTCCAGTTTTCGTTTTATTTCTTGTCTCATTGCGGTATGGTATGTTCAACATTTCTCTATTCATTCAATATATAAAAAGGGCGATCGATTGTAAATACAAGTTAGGGGTTATATGACCAAAATGCACATAAAAAGAATAGCCAAATTCATGTATGGTCAACTTTGCATTAGTGAATTGAAACCTTAGTTTGAGATTTCCATATTTCATCAACATGAGTTTTAGATTGTATGTAATAAATCGTGTCAGTACCGAAGCACTGACTACTGAGCTGATTATACTATCTGAGACTAACAGTCCACCATTAGTGGTATCAACCCAGTTAGAACTGTAAATGAAAAAAAAACATGTTAAACATTTCGTGTGTCGAAACTTTTTTTGGATTTACGTTTATAAAGAACACTCAAACCTAAACATTTAAAGGTCGTGCGTGCTTACTAACTGAGATATGGAAACGCCATACGATTGGTATTTTACTGCTGATCAATTAGAATTTGAAATCATCACGTTTGACATTAAAAAAAAAATTGAAGTCTTCAATCGCTGCTTATATTGGGAAAATGAATAAGATATGAAGCAGACCTTTTATTATCGAAAGTAAAAGGTCGAAAGTATCCTTTATCTGAAGTTTCTTTGAGATATGAGATGCAAGGACTCACTGAAATATGGGTTATTAAATGACAGTAAATCATCAATCTATATATATTTAAAAATAAGTCACTGAAATGATTATAATTATATTACACATATTGACTGGACATGTCGTTGTGAATCGATTTATGAAGTGATTTTATGTTCTCTTTAAGTGATTTGGTTTTGTACTCAAAGATAAATACATCTTCTTAATTTCCAATATGTTCATTTAATGAGCAATAAAATCTAACCAATTTAAAGTCCATTATTTTTTCAAACAGCCACACACTAAACTTTGGAAAACAAAATACATAAAAAACGCTTTTTTACTAGTTATAAAATATGCAAGAGGGACGAAAGATACCAGAGGGACAGTCAAACTCATAGATCGAAAACAAACTGACAACGCCATGGCCAAAAATAAAAAGACAAATAGACAAATAATAGTACAGATGACACAACATAGAAAACTAAAGACTGGGGGTTATCTCGGATGCTCCGGAAGGGTAAGCAGATCCTGCTCCACATGTGGCACCCGTCGTGTTGCTTATGTTATTACAAATCCGGTAAATAGTCTAATTCGGTAGGTCACATTCGTGAAAAGGGAAGGGTATTGTAGTTACGACATAAGGAACATGTCCGATATCATCTGTGAAACGGTTATTCCATAACGGCAAAGAAGTATCTGAACTTGAACTGATATATCTCTGAATTAAAAAATACTGCTTTTTTAATATTTAGCTATCGGCAATTTTACTATTTCTACGAAGTTGTGCTTGCTGTAAATAAATTCGTATTCACTTAGTAACTTTCGGGAAATTCAATATATTGGACATAGCACAAGTAAAATAAAAACAAACTATACGTTTAAGGCAAATTTCAATCTGTGATTAATGTACATACATATTTTGTTTCTGCATTATTCTCTAGTTTCTTTTTTTACAAAAGTTGCTTTGTTACTTCTCTCTGTTCTATTTGATGAAGATAAAGATTAATTATATTACCAGGACATGTAGAACTTATCATATAATGTTAAATGTTTAAACAAGAATATAAGTTATACTCTCTTCAACATATCTGTCACTGGAAATATATATAAAAGTTTAACAGAAGACCAATACTAGATAAATTCCTTCTTATGAATAAGGGACGTTAAGCAACCCACAATCAATCAATCTTATGAATTTTACGCCCATGAAAGAGCAACATAACGCATCTAGAGGTGAATAAATATGTCACGATCCTGTAATTACACTATCGTCTGGAAATGTTGTGAATATTTCTTTTTGCTGTCCAGTGTATACAACTGTTTTACCTTTTGCATATTTTAGGTTATAGTTGACAGTTTTCCTTGTTTAGAATGCAATCAGTGAAGCAAAAATAATTTTTCAACAATATTATTAAACAAAAGACTTGTAAATTTTCAATTCACCTGGTTAATTCAATTGTAAATCGAAATGCTTAATATATAGTCTAATGACCTTTCGTTGCACCCGATTTAATCATATGTAATCCGGATTGTATTATTAGTTTATATGTGCTAAAACATTAAATGTAGTATTATAGATATCACATTTAATAAGATGAAGGATATTGATATAACTTATTTTGGAATTACCAATTATGCTTTCTGTCGTGCATGTGAGTAATAAAAAATAATTTAGGCTGAATAAATAAATCAAAATGGCAAACATGATAAACAGCAGTGAAACATACAATTTATAATATAGATTTCCGCTCTGGGTAATTAACCCTTCATTAGGTACATATTAGGCTAATAGTTTTGAAGCCGAATACCTGAGTCATGACCTTTCAACTGATTTTAATATTTTGATCTTATGTTGTGCTGAAACATCACTATTTCACTATTCCAGGAGGGGATTGTTAAGCGATCATAAACATGTTTAGCCCCGCAAAATTATTTATGTGCCTATCCCAAGGCAAGAACATGACATTCAGTGATCACTTGTTGCTGTCTGCCATATTTGTTCAATAATTGTTTTTAGCGAAAATCGAACAAATAGCGCAA